TTTTTTTTTTTTTTTTTTTTTTTTTTTTTTTTGTAACTGCTCCTCGGAAGTGCAATCTTGCTGCTATTCAGATACAATGTGGCTTCTATTCTCTCCTCCAGTTTTAATTATGTGTCCGCCACTGCTGCCTCTCCAAGCTGGCGGGCTCTGAGATTCATAATTTCAGCCTGACACCATAGTAACCATTTAGTTTGATTCAAGACTCTAATGTCATCACTGGCTAGTCTTGAATACAGCAGGGAGAGAGGGTGTAATTTGAAGGCAACGTCACACAGAAACTGCAATTATTTCTCCCTTTCGAAGGGAAATGTAAACAAAAGGTCATCACTGGTCAGTGCTCTTCATTTCCATCCTCACACACTGACAAGCTGACTTTTTGTTTATTATTTATTTCTTCACCCACCCACACGCCTCCACACCATCACTGGGAGCAGCAGCTAACATTAGTTATCATCCCCCCATAGTAATGTGACTACACCCCTGGGAGAACTCTTCCAGTATTTGAAGATAGAATCATACAATCATTAAGGTTGGAAAGACAAATAAGATCGTTGAGTCCAACCATCATTGCATGCCTGTGACTGCTATACACCATGTCACTCAGTGTGACATCTTCAACACCACCAGGGATGGTGACTCCACCACTTCCCCGTGCAGCCTGTACCAATGCGTCACTGCTCTTTCTGAGAAGAAATTTTTCTTAATACCTAATTTGACCCCAGACAACTTGTAAAACCGCTTGGTCCCATTCATATTTTGAAGGGGGCTGTCCCCATGGGGCACAAAGTTTCTACAGCCCTCGTCAGCCAAGTGCTGCCACATCCAGCACGTCATTGACAGTCAACCCTATCCTTGCAAGGAAGTGGTTTCATTCAGATTCTCTTCTCTCTCTTTTCCCTTTCTCCAGTGCAGATCCCATGTAGAATTTCCTGCCTTTCCCCTTAAGTTAAATATTTGTGTCTCATGTGGACACCACACTCCTCAGCTCCAGAATCAACCCTCTAGCTCCCAAGAGCTATCCTGCCCTTCACCAGCTCAGAAAGCTGCCTTCTAGTCACGCACATAGGCTTACAATAAAAAAGCCGCAGGGCAGCAATGCCACCATCCAAATTATTAGACCCTGGACCATAGTTTTCAATGTCTCTGGACACAACCCTTCCTTGATCCCACTGGGAAAGGCAGAGAAACATAAGACAGATATCAGCAAGACAGATGAATGTGTGAACGCGGTGAAATGCAATTGACTGGGTAGCATTCACTGCAAATCCCGCTGCAATAAATGAAGCTCTCCTGCCCTCCCCCAATGGCTCAGTGATAGAAAGGAGTTAAGTGAAAATAAATGCTCATATCAAATCACAGGTATTGATTTTCTGAGCTAGTAAATGAAGGCGCTTTATCTCCGGTGGGAGATTGAATGTCTGTGTGCCATGCTTTGCTCCATTTTCATAAAAAGGAAGGCATGGTGGAATTATTTTACCTGGCTTCTCATAAAGTGTAAAGGGAGCAGATTCTCATGTCAATGACAAGAGGTATCAATCAGGAAAAATGCCACGAAGACAATGGAGCCATTGAGGATTGGCAATGGAATAACAAGCCTGGGAGGCTGTCCTTGGACATCAACTCGTCCTTCAGCAAATATGGATGAGTGCCCTTCCATATCTCTGTGGTCCCTTTCCCCTGCAAGTAACCTGTTCTCCACAGTTTACTTTTGCTTTGCTAGAAGCTAAGCTTACATCTACATCATTCAATTCTTCTGGCTGTTTTAAGATGAGAACAAGGATTTCACTGCTACTTATGCCAGTTTTGAGCTCTAATGAGTTCTGAGCAGGATGTGATATTGAAATTATAGGTACATTACATTTAATAATCTGCAGAAAAACCTTGAAGGGAGTTGTCCATTGCCTTGAGGAGTGGTTTAGAAGATCAAAGCTGACTGATGCAAAGTAATTCATGTAGGCAGAAGAAGTCACACTCGCAAAGGTCCTTTTGGAAATACAACCTCTTTTTGACTGGGTTCATCTACACAGGCATGCCTTGAAATGAAAGAGCTGAACTTCTACATCTGAGATCCACAGATCTGTGTCCAAGCCTTCCATCTTATCTGGCAGTTACCCATCTTATCAGGCAATTTTCTGGCACTAGCAATCCATCTCTGCAGCCATCCACTCATTTCACTATGCAGTCAGACCTGGTATATTTTGCAGCTGGTATTTTTCAAAGTAGAAGAGATCAAATGCAAAAAATAGATGCAAAGAAGCAAGTCACTAAAAAGCAGGCCCTATGCTTTTGCAGCACAACATAGGATTCTGCTGGTATAAAGCTGCTATTGAGCACATTTTTACTCCCAGCCTTTCATGGCCTGGCACACTGAGACCAATCTGAGAAGACCCATTGAACCTATGTAGTGACAGGGAGAAGCAAAAAAAGTAGATTTCATCCAGAAGTGACTTCTGCTTGAGAGAAGGATGACTGAGGGATTTTTGTGTTCCTGACATGGAACCTGGCTACCTTTTCTGTCTTCAGAGGACTAGAAACAGAAACAACTCCTGAGTAAAGAATCCCAGTTTCCAGGAACATAATCAACAATCTTCAGCTTTGAGGCTTTTCTGTGTTGACATAAAGAGGCTTGGGATGCTGTTCAGAGTTCCAGAAAGGCTATCTGTATTGACATGGCCTGAAGCTATTGCTCTTTCCATCCATAGCATGAAAATTTCTACTGACCTCTGAGGGAGCAAAGCCAAGCCCAAGTCCATCCGTTCAATGGAGAAAAACTCACATGTTCTCTCCTGGATTTCCCACCACTGATATATAATGAAAGGACAGGTTGTTGATACCAGCTTTCACTACATAAAGACATCTATAGAGGACAATAAGAGAGACACTATTAGAGGTTCAATTTAAAGCATGGAGGTGGAAGTATGGGTCTAAAGAAGCATCAGTGTGAGTTCAAACTGTTGGGAAGAAAACCCGTGGTGTATGGAAGGCATAACCATGGTCCTGTAAGGGAATGCTGTCTTGATGTCAGGCTCCCAGAGTGGTCCTTGGTGTGCACTTGCAGTGCAGACATGTTATGACAAGAGAAACAGTTCTGTGACAGCATTCTTAGAAATCTACTTCCTTATTTTTTGGTCATTGTAGAGCCCTTCTCAAAACATCTTCTGGGGAGGTGGGTACTTGAAATAAAGAAGTGGATGAAGGCACTTTTTTGTAGATTTTGGTTGAAGCCAAGCCACTTTTGCCAGAGCTGTGAGGCAAATAGGTGAGATTTTCTTTTTACTTCCAATGGGAGGGTTGTACAGAATGTGTTATCATTTTGTTTTGGTAAATTTCCATTTTCATAGTGACAATTTTACGTCATCAAGATTTGTTAACCTCTCTTTGCACCTGCTTTTGGTTTTAGGATGTGGGTTGCCTTTTCTTTTTTGGGGGGGGAGGTGAATGGGGAATCATTGTTTCTTTTTTGTTTTGTTTTGTTTTGTTTTGTAGTAGAGAAAGAAAATATGTTGCTTTTTATTATTATTCCCCCATCCATATGTCTTTGGTGTCTTTTTCAATAATGTTCCTACTATGACAAGCAGAAACGTTGCCCTGTACAACCTGTATAGAGAGTGTAAGCATCAATCCTCTCTTATTAAACTGAAGCTAAAATGCTCATAGACAAACTGCTAAAAAGAAGAAAGCATCCATGCTGCGGTGGAAAAGGCAAAATGCAGTAATTGTTCAAAGCTTTCAAGGAAGAATATCTCAGTAGGGGAGGGAGGACCTTTTTCCTTTCTGTCACAAATTGCCAGAAGACTCCAGGAAAGCTCACTTCACCAAGATATATTTATTTTTAGGCACAAAATCACCCTTACTGCCCTTGATTCCTGCAAATTTGTTGAGGAGGATCAAATACTATTCACTACCCAGCTTCAGGTACAAGTTATCCCTACCTAACATTGCTGCTCTTTTTGAATACTTTCTGATTTTTTTGCAGAGTCCCAAAGAGAAAAAAAAAAAAAAAAAAAAAAAAAAAAGCCAAAAACAGCTTTCTTTGCATGTCTGTCATGTCTATTTGGCAACAAGAGAGAACTGTGTACATATCGAGATACAAGGTGGATTAATCTGATTAAATTCATGCCTCTAAGTCAAAGCTAGTCACCCAAAGCTCCTTTCTTACAGTAGACAGACATCTCATCAATATACAGTCAATGGAACCAGGGGTGCAATTCATCCAATTTCAAAGTAGATGCCTGAAGTAGATCACATGAATCACAATCCTAAGAACATACTTCTCCCCATTGACTGTAGAGGGATCCTAGCATGAGTAAACTGTTTTTCGACACTGAAAGCAATGATGACTGGCTCAAGGCTCCTATTGAATCCTTGCATGGGCAGCTCTTCTTCCATGATGTTTCTGATGCTGTAGTTATTCACCCCTGGTTCAACTATGGAGATAGGGCTTAAAGGCATAGATCTCACTGAGGTAATCTTGGAGAGTAAAAAATGAAGACATTGCCCCTAATAACATTTTTATCCTGGTCTTGCTCACATCCCACTAGACTTTAGCATGGTAATATGGATCAACTCTCTGAAAGCATCTTTCGGCACTTAGAGATGGATGGAGACATGGAATGAACACATAAGAATACAGTCCAGTGAGCTGTTGATCTTCAGACTTTATACACAACTGAGTTCAAATAGCAATAAACGTAGGAGTCCAGAGACTGGAGGTAGGTATCTGAACTTGGTCAGGAATAAGAAACTGGTGGACTGGGTCATTTTTATAAGGAGAATGCCTTTTTCCTTTTTCTGCTCCGAGATTTTTTTAAATAACCTTCAGAAAAAGTGCATTTGGGAACTCAAGCAAGACAACACAAAAACAGAGCTGTGAAATGAACACCAGCCAGCTCAGGTCTCACCAGACGCAGATTCCGAAGTCAGATGTGAGATTTTGATGCCTAGTGAAGTTAACTTTTTAAAGCAAAAGAAAGAAGACTATTGCAGTCTGAACAAGTCAATGCTTCTCACAGCAGTTCTCATGAATCCAGAAAGACAGTCCATATATTATTTAAACCATCCAATTTACTGAGCAGCTCAAAGAGGTTCTCTCTACAGCAGAGTTTATGAGGACTCTCAGAAAACTTTGCAAAACATTCTGCTTTCAGCCAGTTCTTCTCCAGCTATAAGAGGCTTTGCTTCCTTGCTTGGAACATTTGCAAGAAGAAAGGTCTTTGCTCCTGTCACCTCTGTTGATAGCAATACAGTCACCTGTGCCTCTTCAGAAGGAGGTGTTGTAGAGTTTCATGGCTCTAATCCAGCACCTTCAGATGCAGTGATGACTCTATTGGCAACATCATAGCACAGATGTATCAGAGAGAACAGGAAAAGATGAGCTGTTAATAACATCTACTCAGAGTTCTGTTGGAACTGGAATAGCACACATTAGCTGGAAGGCAAGTGCTCCTCTCCATGGGTTTGAAGAGAGAATTGTGTTTAAAATCCATCGCAGTACCCAACCAGCAGACTGCCCATCTGGAGTTCCTTGGGCATCAAAACAATACATCTGCCATAAAAGGAGGTTCAAGTTCACGTCTCCATATAAAAACCACACAAGCACAGCTCTAAGAAGCTGTGAAACTCAGAAGAAAACCAAACTTTCTCACTCTTCAAATAATCTTGGGTCTCAGTTTTTCAACCTGTGCTTGGATGAATGTTTGCATCTGTAGTTAAGGCACCTAAAGAAGCTTTTCCTTCTTGTGTAACAATCCTATGCCTCTCCTGGATTTTCTCACATCTGAGTCACAAAGTGATATGTTTATATTGGTAATGCATGTGAGCAGATCTTCCCTAAATAACAGGGGACTGAAGAGAAACAGCTGAACAAGTACATGCTCGTACATGCACAGACACACACACAATGGACCTAACACAGCTAGTTATAAATCTAATAAACTGGCAAGCACTGCGATCCTTATGCTGCCCATAAATAATTCACTGCCAAGATGCTTGTAAGAACAGCACCTTCTGGATAGTCCATGGGAAATTCTAACGGGTACTGAGCCCTGCTGACTCCAGTTATTAATCCTGTTTATTGCTGCAGTGCCAAAGGGCCAACACAGAATGAGCCCCCTTTGGGCTAAGAACTGTATAAACACAGACTCTTGAGTTTGGAAGGACTCTGGGAGGAGAAAACACTGGTATAATGATGTTAGCCCAGCCCCAGGACTGTCAAGATTCAAAATGTCTTTCCTCTCCAAAAACCAGCAATAGCTTTTAGGCAAAATTCTCTGCTTTGTGTTAGAAATAGACCCAAGATGCTGAGTCTAGAGTCTGACAAGGATGTGAATGTCTCCAGCTCTAAAGGACCCAGATGGGTTGTGTTTATTATGTGTCTGTTAGCAGTATAGATTACCTCAATGGGAGGAAGGGACAGAGAATGGAAGAGTTTTCACCCCTTCCTTCTGGAAATGCTTTGTTTTAGAAATATAATTTCCTTATCAAGAGGCAAGTGCCCTGCATTATGAGCTTGCAGAAGTCCCAGATCTGTTGGTTTTCTCACATTTCTTCACCAGAGCATTTCTAGGGCAGAACAGAGACTGGTTTCTGTGGTTCCTCAGCCCAAGTTGTTTCGCCTCAAAGAGCCAGGGAGTTAAACCAGGGGAGCAAGTAGTGTCCTTGGCAATGGTAATAGATGAAGAGAACTATTGTTTCAAGGGGCAGCTGAAAGGCATTAGGCCATCACCTGCAGAAGGATCTAAAAATATTCTGTTCTCTTTTGGGCCAGCCCATCCCCTTCCATTGTGATTTCTACATACACAGTTTCATTGCTGGATGCTGAGTTTTCAAAGGATTGTTGTTGAAAACATTCACTACAAGGTATCTCTTTTTCTTTAACAAGCAAAGAGGACTGAGCTAGGAGGTAGCTATCATCACCTCTCCACCACTCACTCTATTACAGCTTAGAAATGGCATTGCAATTGCCTCCGTTGTAAAGTGGGAGAGAGCTACCACTCTAGAAAGCTCTCTGAGTTCTACAAGTAAATGCTCCCAGTCAGTGCTGATCAATATTATTGATGTTTTTTAAATCCTGAATCACGGTCTTGACTTTTATATGGGCATGACATATGTGAGGTGGCACTATAGATCCCTAAGCAAAGACCTTCGCCGTAACTTCTACTGGTCATGAAGCACATAGCTGGTCTTTTGCCTCCTAGCTGAACCAATCACATCATCGTGGGCTACCAGAAGGGTCCCGCATGATCATACTCCAATCTGCAAATCAACTCTTTCATGCTTTCTCTCTACCTATTCACAATGGAACAAGGTGTTTGGACGGATTTCATGCCAGCTTTCAGAAAATTATTAACTCACCTCAGCCTAAACAAGGCAATTGAACAGACCTGGGGACACACATCTCCAGAGTTCAGAGCTGGACGCTTCTGTAGAAGGAAATTTAAGAGGGATGCTGGTTCCCCACACAGTAACACCTGCAAAGAAAAGGGGTGTCAGCGGGAAAGGAGAGAGCTACAGAAGTTCTGGAGGTCTCAGTATGACGAAAAGCCTCAGACTATGCCTTAAGTCTGACTCTGGAGACTACAGCTGTGCGCTGCAGCCATTGAGGTGTAATGCCCTGAAATTAGACATTTATACATATGCGTATAATATAATCTTGTAAGCTATAAAGCAAAGGTTGGTTCTGCTTCTTCCAAGGTGGGTTTCCCAATAACGCCTTAAATGAAGTGTCTCAAATAAGGATTTAATTTAGACTCAATAAGGAGAGTTATTGCTCCATAATGAAACAGCAAGTAGTTATTGCAAACACATTTAGTGAGGTTTAACAGCCTTGTAATAGGTTTGTAGAAGCTGCGGCCTGGCTAGGAAAGTTCAGTGAATATCTTTTTAATCTTATACAGGTATCTTGTTTTTTGGTGCTTTTTTTTTTTTTTTTTCTCAGTATGCAACTAGTATTTAATTATATTTGTATTAAGCAGCAGCCATGGATGAGAAAATACACCTCATTCTCCAGCATTGGCTGCTGTATGCCACCCTCTTCCTGGAAACAGCTGGAACAGCTACCATTAGTGCCATTTGGAGTTAAATTCAGTGCTGCTGCCCCTTCCACAGCCTATTAAATGTAATAAACTGAAGCTGATGTGAGGAACTGGAGACCTGGTAGGATCAAGTCCAGGATGCAAGGTGCTGACTTTTCATGAGGTGTTTAAATGCCTAACCTGGAATGTGATGTCTGCACCAGCTTTGGTGGGGACCTGATTTGCTTTGGATCAGAACAGGTTCACCTGTGGGGTGGTATTTATCTTTGAGGATCCTGTGAATCCAAGAAAAACAGGAATGGAAGGGGCAGGAAGGCTCTCCCAGGACCAAAGGGGCAACAGCATGTAAAAGAGATGTGATTCTTCTCCCTGTGCTCAGGCACACACCACTGGAACTCATCATCAGTGCTCGGTTCTCTCTAAACATGAATGCAGAAAACCTTTGGGCTGCTGCCATAACACTCCTCAGCAAAACCTACCTTAGTCTGCTCTGTTATTTGTACAACTTTCTGATGAAGAACTGCCTTCCCCAAGACCTCCCTGCTGCCTTTCTGTGCATTAACTGCAGTTAGATTATCTCAGGATAGGCTGAAAGGAAAAGCTCAGTTTTGAAGGCAGCGGGTGCAATAGAGGTACAAAGCAGAATTGATGACTTTAAGGGGAGAACTACAATCATACCCCATGCTGTCACAAGAAAACCATGCTCCAGCTAACAGAGGAAAGAATCACACTTTCCTTCTACAAGCCAATAACTTAAATTGATCTAATGTGGGAAGTCATCCTTGCTAATCCTAATTTGATAGGGTTTAATGGCTATCGCTTAGCTGTGATCACACTTTACCCAGCGTGTGAAAGAGACACAGCCCCAGTTAGGGTAGATGCAAAGGCAAGTGAGAGATTATCTGCTTTACAGCTGTAGAAAATGAGGCAAAAAGGAAGGCAATAGACCCATCCTGATTGAGAAAGGCAGCTCAGCAGCACATCACCAACTGCACAAATGGATCCTGGGCAATTAGAGATCTCTGTTCTGTTCTGGTTTTAAGGATTGCTCTCCCTGTAATCTGTCTTTTAGGATCTAAATGGCCTGTGACAAAAGGCTTCTGATTAAGCACTTCTTTTGCTTTGTTACACTTCAGAGTGAAACTGGTGCTCCTGAAAATAAAGTAACTGAATAAAGATGAGACGGAGAGCTGTCTGATTGCAAACTCCTCATGGGGGAGGTTCTTCAGCATCAGGCCCACAACGGTTCTGTCAACTTCAGCATTCCACAAACCACTCTGAACACGTCCTCCCTCACTGTTCTCCACTCAGTATCGGAGTACTGGGACTCAAAATCCTGCTTGCACTGCATATCCATGGAAGCCTCCAGAGCTCATCCTGCTCAGACAGGTTCCCTTTCCAATGGGTAGTGAGAAGCATCAGAGTAAAACAGGGCATAAAGATTTCCTCCCTTTTGTCTGCTTAAACTATGGTTTCTGCTTACAGACCGTCCCTCAGGATAGCAGTATCACATAGAGAGAACCTGGATTAAACTCCTTTTTTAAACACACAGTCTATGGTACATAAAGCATCACTGCGCACCAGGAATGCCGGTGGGGTGTGGCAAAAGTCTTTGCTTAACACTTCACATATGTAAACTTATTGCCTTTCAAGAGTCTCAGAGTCACAGACTCTAAATTAAAGATATCATCCATTGTTTTCATAAAACAAGGACTGTCAGGGCAAATCATTGCTTCAAATTTACTGGAATTCCACCCACAATTCATTCCGGTTTAAATGTAATGTTCTACTCAATCAGAAACAAAACATTTTGAGAAGCTTATTATTCCTCTCTAAAGGATCTGGATGTATTTCTAAACTTAGGTCATTTTTTTCTACATTAAGGGAAACTCTTCAGGTATCTTAGAGTTGAACCCATTCATCAACATGCAGAAAGCTGTAAAATTATTTGGCTGATCCATTCCTGCAATTCAACAGAAAATACTCACAGTGAAACCCTCGATTATTACTATGAAAGGGGAATAAGTTTCACATTAAATTTCTCTTTCCAGTGGGATTTTACAAAACTTAGAATAGTCCAAAAAAATTATTTTTCTTTAAAAAATTATCCAAGAGCTAGCCTTACAAGATTGTGGTGGCTGCAGGGGGAGCAGATAAATTAAACTGACTTAAATCAACACCAACAAGTACAACAACGTTGTCTATGCTTGGGGAGAGGGAAGATATAATCAAACAACACTGCACAGGGAAACCATCATCTTTCCCTTTTAGCGAGCCATGTGCTCTCTGTTACATCAGTAAAGACATCTTTCAGCCATTACAACTTGTACACTCCACAGCCATTTAGCCATACAGCAAACATACAACTTCAGCTTCTGTCTCTGCTTTTTGCTTTTCCCTAGGACAGATGAGATGCTGCATTACACAAATGTAGGACAAACAAGCGGCATCTCTGTTGAACAACGTGGATGAGGCTCACCAGAATGAAAGGCTGAATTTCTAAGCAATGATCAATGCATTCATGGGACAGTGGGGAGAAGATCTCTTTCTTAAGAGATGGCTATTAAAGCATCCAGGGTCTGGACCACTTGTTTGTTCTAGTCAGCACCTGAGTTCATAGAAACATTAAGGTTGGAAAAGACCTCTAAGGTCATCCAGTCCAACCATGCACTGACTACCAATATTTCCTACTAAACCATGCCCTTACATACCACATCTCCACATTTCTCGAACAACTCCAGGAATAGTAACTCCCCCACCTTTCTGAGCAGCCTGTGCCAGTGCCTGACCATGAGATCAGAAGTGTCCGAGAGAGCCAAGACTCCATATCTCTAAACCTGATGGACCAGATCCTGTTCTTCTTTGCTGTCTTACATAGATTTTCTGATAAGCTCAGGGAAATCGCTTCACCCCATTAATTCACAAATAGCAGCCAAAAGTTGAGGAATATATGAAATACCCCCATGGTTTAAAAGGAGACAGACTGCAGACAGAAATGGCAGACAGCTAAGTTTCTTCTTTTGGGGGAGAGGTTCTGTTGATTTAAATGAGGGAGATGAACAGAGCCTTGGGAGAACACGTAGGTTCACTGATTGACTTAGCTTCTTTCCCATCACTCCTACAACAAGCAGGAAAAGATAGCCACAAATTGACTAGGAAGGAAGCTAATTAAATAAAACAGCACGCTTGATTGATAAAGTGAAAATCTCAACAGCTCTTCCATAAGGTGCACATGGACTTGGTGTACCACCAAAAAGAGGTATTTCCAAAGCTTGTCATCCAGAAAGGCCTGGTAGATAGAAGAGGAAAGAGAAGTAGGAATGATGAATGTTATCCAAGTTGAGCCTGCAGAGCTACATCTCAACAGCTGCTCTCTTTAAGATATCCAAATCCTTCTTGTCCTGGGAAGCCACACCTTGAACCTATAGCCACCATGGCAGCCCTGGGCTGGGGATTCAAAGCCCTCTGACTCCAGCTCCACTGCAGGAAACCTCTGGGGAAGGCTGACTCCTCACTCCCTGCAATGCACAAATACCTTCTACCACACGCCTTTGGAGAAACCAAATTATTGGAAAAGCAAATTGCTTTTTGGATTGCTTTTTGTCCAATTGTGAGAGCTTCACTTTAGGAGCTATCAGGGGTGAAAACCTGACACTGTAGAGGCTACTCTGGGGGATCAATATATTGAGAAACCAATACTCTGAGGCAGGAGAGCAGGACAGCCACTGCTTTTCACCAGTTTTTCTGCTGGAGCAGTGGGAAAAGGCCTATTTTATACCTTAATAATAATAATAATAATAATAATAATAATAATAATGGGAGAATGAAAAATAAATAAATAAAGCCTTCTTGATAAATGCATTATTAGCTGTAGTGGGAGCAATTACAGGAAGAATGGGAAGTGACAGCTGCAGGCCCTAGATAGCCAAGGCACAAAAGAGGAGTTTTAGACAAATGCCCTTCAGATAATGGGTTTGCTTCTTGTCTAGTTTGGGGGAGGGATGAGACCAATACGGGAGGCATTAACAGGCTGTGCCATACACAGGGAACAGAGATGCTGCTGTACCAACTCTCTGCTGGCATAGTTTAGCTTTTTTTTTTTTTTTCCTCAGTGCATCTGATTTCAAATTTGTTTAAAGCAACATGGCTTTCCCTGCTCTCATCCTCTGTGCAGGCAGCTCTTCCCACAGTGACAAAAGAGGCCCTGGGATTTGCTGCTTTATAAGCTTGTCCATTTTCAGGACTGGGATCTCAGATAATAAGATTGTGGGGAGACCTCTGGGAATGGGGTCACAGCTTGTCAGAGCACCTGTGCTGGAGCACAATGGAATCCTGATGAAACTACGCCATCAGAGACAACCCAGAGACTGCTATCCAGAGGACTGCTGTCTGAAGGAAGAGGTCCTTCCCTCGAGATATCTCTGGAAAGGTAAGACATGGAGACAAAGCAGCTCAACAGGGATCATTCTGCTCCACATTTTGCAGCAAGTATCCAAGCTGTGGTGGCTGGGAGCTCACTAAAACCTCTTGCCTCACTGCCGCTCTCACTAAGTATGAACAAAATCACTACCAAAATTTCTGCTGCTCAGCATTATCCATGGCCCCTATGGATATTCAGAGCCCCATCCTTTGCCCTTTTCCTACAAGGCTCACACCTTTTGTTGCTTTAACCCATGGCGCTTTTCCCAATCACACAATTATGAAAGCATTCAGCCATTTCAGGAGCAGGAGAAAGTGCACGTGATGAAAAGCGGAGGGAGAATAACTCCCCTGGATGGCTGTGTGCTCCATAATAAAAACGTGAGAACCAGCTGCAATTTGCTGGGGATGATGACACCGAGGTCAGACAAGCTGTATTGTAATTTGTGTCCAGGAAAATGTAACCAGGCATGACCAGGCAATGAAGGATCACTCTTCCAGTTATTATGAACAAAGAGCATGCAGTGGGAAATCATAGAGGCCTCTCTACAAGACCTCTCTGCCTTTAGCTTAGCTCCATCTCCGTCTAATTACATGGCCTTGTTTGCATTAGTTTTGTCTATGGCCTCTCCCATGTCCCTTCTCACTGAGTGTCATTCAGAGCCATTAGCACAGATTGCACAACCATCCTGGGGATTTCCCTAAGGCATATATAAGCTTTCCTCACAAAATATGATCAGGCCAGCCTGAGGCAACACTCGGGAGGGAAGATTTCAGCCTAAATGGTTAGAATTTGGAAAAGTTGTAAGTGACAGAAAGTGGGGTCTAATAATAGGAAGTGTTAGGCAGCCTTAATAGAAAGCACATTAAGAGGCTTGTGCTCCGCATATAATGTATCTTCTCCAAGTTAATTGCTCATCAGTTCAGTACATAAACAAAGACTGATGCTGTGACTGTGCAAGTGGCAGGGCTCATTCCCTGATGAGCTTTTTTTAGCTTAAAAGAAAAAAAAGAAAAAAAAAGTCTGGGAGAACAGCTTCCTGCATACCAAGGTGGGACAGAAGTACTGGCCTGTTAGTGCAGTGTCCTGGGATCGGGATGCATCCAGGGGACTGGAGGCCAACTCAGCAGTGTCCACCTTCTTGTAGGAATGCGCATAGGTCTAAAGCTGAAGGTCTGATAGGCTCTGAGGCAGGAGGAGTCAGCAGATGAGATGGGTATGCGTTCAATCCAGCAGGACTGCAAGGGTGTCATAGGAATTACAGGTGAGAGTAGGAATTGGATGTTTACCAGCCTTTCCAACCAGCCTCTTGGGTCTCCAAGTCTGCACCAAGCCCACAGGTACTACATGGAACTAAAGGCTGAATTTACATGGCTAGCTAAGTACCATAGTAGCTTCCCATTCTGTCCCTGCTGGAACAGAGCTCATTAACACTTGGCTTGGAAATGCTTTCTGAAGTAGCCTTAAAGGTTATCCATGAGAAATGCCCAAAATCTGGGATTCCCAATTGCATGACTGACTGATCTCACCTGGAACTGTATGGTAGAAGGCAGAATGAAGTGTTGATCTCAGGCAGCAAATAGGTCCAGACAGATCACCAGGCTGCTTCTAAACAGCAGAGAATGGATGGCCATAGGTGAAGGTATTCTGCTCTCGGGAGTTTGTAATCATCTCAGTGCCCAAGAAGGTAGCATAAGTTATCCCAAAGCAAAAGATATTCTAATTTGCCTTTGGCTCAGCCTGGAAAGTCTGTAATCAGTGCTGCTAATCTTTAATAAAAAGGGTTCACAGGAGCCTTTGTTTATAATGACATGGTGGGTGATAGCTCTTTCTTGTTATAATCCCCTTTCAGAAAACATTTGATGTGGAAAATGTCTCCCTTGACAGTTTGCTTAAATTTTCATTTGCCAAAACGCTGAATAAACTTCTTGTTTGTCTAATGGAACTAGAAGGAATAGTGACACTTTTATTGTTTGTTTACTTCCTCACTGGGGCACCAGCTAAATTGGAGATGTCATCACACAGTACTGAGAATCAAGCTTCTTAATTTAACTGATTGGTTTGCAAACAAGAGTCTCCAAAGCACCACTGTGCTACGTGGGCTTTGCAGTGACCGCAGATTGAAACACATCACTGAGCTGCAGGCACCAGAAGCAATACAGTGGGGAGGTAATCCCAGAAAAGCTGCTGCTTTTACAAAGTATTGCACAGAAGCAACAGTCAAATGGCATCTGTAAATCCAGCAGAGAGAAAACAAAGAGTGCAATACATTTTTCTATAAATCCTATGTAATTAGCAGCCGCTACTGTATCAGTGCTAGCATTGATGTTGAAAGGATAGAGTGAACAGATTTGTTCCCCAAATTCCCTCAATTTTCCCCTCTGTTTATGCCCTTACAACCAGAAGTAGAGTTACTCTTGCTTTATACCACCCTCAGAAGGACAGAGCAGTGCTCAGGATGCAGGCGGAGGAGCAGCCTCCCCTGGACCGCTGAGATTTTCAGGCAGATCAAATGTTGAGCTTCAGGTAATTGGCAGAGATCCTTTAATGTCTGAGTTTAACACTCGCCTACTAGAAGAGAAGACAATTAGGCAATGAGATGTGGAAGAGTCTGAAGTGCCAGGTATAATAATTCAGCCGCAGTAGGCTGTTCAGCAGAAAGCTGAAGGCTGAGAGCTGTCAATTACACCTGGGGGTGAATTAACGCAACTAAATTCATGCACTGAAGCATCTTATTATTGCTATGATCACATTTTATTATGAAGCAGTTTGGGTGAGGTTATTTTTTTTAATTTATTTATCTATGTTAATTTTGTACAGAGACAAATAAGTTATGAGTTGGGAATTGTATTAATTTTACTGCTTGGAAATATTTTAATAGCTGATTAGGTCACTTGCTAGTTGTCTTTTTTTTTCCCCTCTCTTCCTTCTGCTCATCATAAAATTAGTGTTTAGTGCTACAAGCACATAGGGTAGCAAAACGTGACCCCTCTTGGTTCCCGTCCCAACATTTACTAATCACCCCCTACGCTCAGTTTCCACACTACCATTTCCTTGCCTTCCCCATGTGTATTTCAGGGTCTGACTTCACCAGGGCCAACAGAAGATGATTTCACAGCTCAGAGGGAGACCTTCCCATCCACCCCCAAGGCAAATAAACTGCACTGCGGAGAGCACCAGGAGGCTCAGCAGACAGAAATCAAGATCCAGGAAGACTGTACCTCAGTCACATCTGGCAAATAATGGCACATAAGGAGAGCACGCCTGTGCTGCACCATCCCAGCCTTCGCAGACCCAGGCAGGCTGGAGGGAACCATAGCATTAAGGGAAGCCATCTTCTGCTTGTAGGTGATGGGATCTAACCTGGCTGAGAACTATGTTAGGTGGCCCATTCATGTTGAGAATTGGTAGGGAGAAAGGAAAAAGGTGAGGTTGGGGTAAAAGGAGATACATTCTGTGTCCTCTCCTGATACTATAGTTCCTATTTCACAGTTTAGTGGTATGGTGGTGATGGGTTGATGGTTGTATTAGATTACCTTTATGGTCTTTTCCAATGGTAATGATTCTATGATTCCATACAAAACCACGAGAGGAATAAACAGCAAAGGCCCAGCAGTCTTGAGACGATGCTGAGAGAAGATTTGTCCATCCTATTCAAAGAAACATAGATGTCTGTGTATTTGCCACTTTTACAACTTAGGCTGAAAGCCTCATACATGTCCAGAGACATTAATTGGTTCTTCAGTTTGAGGGAACAGGGCTCTAAGATTTTCCTCCTCCCTCTGTATAGCACGAGTGATGTGAGGTTTGTGGTCCCACCCCTGCTCAGTACCCATCCATGCAAGAGAACTTGGGGCCAGAGTCACAGGGTCATCACCTTGGGGGCTTGGGCACAGACAAAGAGGGGAAGAACAGCAGGGATATTGTAGATAAAAGTCTTAGGTATGGCTCAGCCAAATCTAAACAAGAACACTCTGGATTTACACAGGATTTGGGTAAAGCTGTGTTGGGGACAGGCAGAAAGCTGGAAGAAGGGCTGTGAGCAGATGGAGGCGAGGAAGGAGGTGTAGAAGAGCATGAGGGATGAGCATTTATGTGCCCCAAAGCAGAGAAAAGGCCGCTGCCTCAGCCACAGAAATTTCTGCACAATCTCGACAACTCCAGCTGTTAACATCAGGAGCTCAGAAACTTGGAAGAATCCTACAGTAACATTTTTCTTTGGCTTAATTACTGAAATAGACAAATTGGAAATTGGCCCATCATGAAGATAAACAGCAATAAGGAAAAAAAAAAAAAAAAGCCTGCAGTCGATAAAAGTGTTCCTTCTAAATTATAATTAACCACCCACCGGCAGCTACCTGGTGGAGGTGAGAGGGGAGGCCGTGAGCAGCCCCTCTGCTCGGCCGGCAGCTTCCCGTGATGCTCCTTGTTACTGCACCTCCGGGGCACTTAATGCCCCATTCTGCTTTCAGTGCAATTATAAAAGACCACTTACATTCGCCAACCTCCCCCCCCCTTTTGTCTCCCCACCCCAAGATCTCTAATAGTCTAAATTATCAGCAAATTGCCTATTTGATAAGGGCAAGCCATTTTGCATTGAGAGCTGAACTATTTCCCACTTCTGGGGGATAATATTAGGCAAATAACAAGCATCATTCTTTTGACATGTACAATTATTTGCCAAGTGTATGTTTGAATAGCCTGCTCCTTTGTGTGACAGGGTCCGTTCTCCATTAGCATATTTGACAGATGAATATGCTGGGTCCTTGTGGAAAACCTGGCAGTAACCATGGTGACTGGGAGACAATGTTTTGAGTGAGGGATGTATTATCATTTTCAACTGGAAGTAAAAAAAAGTGTATCGCTAACGAGCTGATCTGCAATCCTGCAGAAATACATTGTTCCCAGGTAATTAAGCCAATCTTGGAACTGGTTTTAAACTCACATAAATTAGAGGTGGAGATGTCTACCTATTTTCTTGTTTCTCTCTTTCCTGATGGGTTTTTCTCCATGATTTTTAATTAAAGTTCTCTAAGAAGGAACTGAAACGTGTTTTTTCCTCTGAGCTAATGAGTTCTGGGAGCAAAGTTGATAACCAGGACAGACCCTCTCTTTGGGTGTATTGGGAAGGGATGAGTGACTTACAAAAGAGTACCAGGATGGTCTCTCAACCACCCCCTTTTAGGTTACCCTGGCTTTATTCTGAGCTTTCTTTTTGGAGTGGTAGAAGGAGATGCTGCCTTCACATTACTCTAGAGAAGGCGGGCAGCACAGCAGTGGCTGTGGATGTGTGCTCCCCAGACTTTGCTGAACCAAAACCTTTGCTGCCCAACCTCAGCTGTCCCTCTGAGAAAGAGGCTGCTAGAGAACCTCAATCATAGAATCACAGAGTCATTATGGTTGGAAAACACCTCTAAGACCATCTAGTACAGCAGTCAGCCTATCCCCTCCATGCCCACTGTCCACATCCCTCATCACCACATTTCTCAAACACCTCTAGGGATGGTGACTTTACCATCTCCCTGGGCAGCCTGTGCCAGTGTCTCACCACTCATTCAGAGAATAATTTTTTCCTAATATCCAACTTGAACCTCCCCTGGCACAACTTGAGGCCATCACCTCTCATCCTCTCATTGTTAACTGGGAGCAGTGCCTGACCCCCACCTCACCACAACATCCTTTCAGGCTGTTGGGGAGAGCAACAAATCTCCTCTGAGCCTCCAGACTGAACATCCCAGTTCCCTCAGTCAGTCCCCATAAGACTTATGCTCCAGACCCTTTGCAGTTCTGTTGCCCTTCTCTGAATACACTTCAGGGCCCCAGTTTCTTCCCTGTAGTGAGGGGCCCAAAACTGAACACAGTTGGCTGCTCCCTGAGCACCACCCACTTACGGAGCTTTGAATGCAGCACCAAATCTATCACAGACATCCTTATGCCTCCGTTTGATTAGAGAAGCTGCTCACATGCTTCTTCCCCTTGGGAAAGACAGACTAAATAACCTCTGCATAGCAATGCTTTGCTTCGAATCTTGCCCATTAAATTCTATACAGAACAGGTGAAAAGCATCTCCATTTTGTCCTGGTAGTTATTTTGCATCAGCTTTGCCTGAGGATAGATGGACACAATACCTAGGCAGGAAGGGATAGGGCCAGGACCACCTATTTGCTCATATTATGTTATAATAGAACCAAACAATCTGTTTTAAATCCCTATCCAGTCCTGCTCCAGATCCCCCCAAATCCCTGTAACATGTAACCCCACTTTACTGAAAAAAAAGGCAGATTATAGGAACAAAGTTACTATTAGTGGTTTGATTAGGAACAGATTCTCCACAGTACTTCATTAGCAGGAACGTCCCTGCTTTTTTAGACTCAAATTTGCCCTCATTTTCCTCACCTGGTACATTCTCACTTTTACTATTGTAAAATATTGACGTGGAAAAAGCTGAGTCAGGCACCTGAGGTCAGAAAAGGCGATTTGCACATAAGTAATGAATCTTGCTGTCTCCCAGGGCTTCCTTTCTCACCCTTTCCTGATTCCTGGTTCTTTTTCAAGCAAATGCTTGTTTTTTTCCCCCGCCCCCACCCTCTGTCCCAACACTTCTCCCTGCTTTGGACGTTGGCAGGTTGAGAGCTACAATTAGAGACAGCATTTATGGTGCCGGCCATATGGCTTGCAATGCAAAACAGCAGCTGCATGGGAATCTCAAAAGCAGCCCTCCCCAAGGTCAGCCTGCACAAGGGAGCGTGTGCCCTCCCAGGTGGGACAAGCAGGCTTCTCATCACTCCATATTTGATCATGCACATACCCATCGAGTGCCTCCGATGCACACTAATGTAGGAGCAGCTGCACAGCACTGATTGCATCCCATACACAACCACGTCACTGAACAGCAGGAACACAGGGATGTCTGGGCTGCTTCTCTTCCGGACTGCAGGTTCCTGAAAACAAGGTGAGAAAAAGGCTGAGGTCACCCAGGAGCAAACAGTGCCTTAAATGCAGCACTGGCATGGAGGTTTCTCCTTTATTGGAAGATCTTTTAGAGGGATGTTGGCCTTGAAGGGGAGGGAGCCTGGGTGTGGAGATCAAGCGAAAAAGCATTTTGCTTACCTGAATCAGGCTAATTTCTGCCCATTCTGTTTCTGTGTGACTCCCCTTCCCATCCCAAAGGCAGATATATATGGCAACATAGCCAGCTCTGTGGCTGTGATCACAAACTCAAGGCAAGAAATCCCATTGCTGCAATCAAAAACGCATTACACTCATATTTAAAGGGCAGAAATCCTAGATTGGGTGGATTTTTCCTTGATGTTTAAATCATCCATCTTCTGCAGAAATAGCCATGTAAGTAGCAACCTGTGTGCATTCTGCACCCAGCTGTTTTCAGGAAAGCACCAAGGGACCAGGCTGGGATTTCCTCTGGCTCTCATGACATTAGCAGATACACTTTTAGAGATGTCACATTCATAAAAGAGCAAGAATGTGACCTGACTGAAGCAGCATTTCCCAGGCTGTTTATCACCCACCGATAAATGAATGAGAGCATTTGATGCTTACGGGCTGTAACCAGAGCAGAAGGGCACTCTCTGGGATTGTGCCAAATGCCCTGCTCTTCCTGGAGAGCAGCAAAGTGCACATCCCAGAGACTGACACACAGGCCAGCGAGCATTTAATTCTCACCCAAAAACCATCAGGCAACATCTTATCTGCCTGTATTAGGGATCACCACTTTCATCTAGGTTTGTATGTGGCGGGGTGGGAGAGGCTTTCCCTCTAAGCAGTCAACTTTCAAAGTATCCAGGGTAAACAGCAATAGGATGAAAGGGAATGGTCTCAAATTACGCCAGGGGATGTTCAGGTTGGATATTAGGAACAATTCCTTCTCAGAAAGAGTGGTGAGGCACTGGCACAGGCTGCCCATGGAGTAGTGGAATCAAGAACTGTGAAGACGTGGCACAGAGGGGCATGGTTAGGGGCATGGTGGGGGTTGGGGTTGGACTGGGTGATATTAGTGATATTTTCCAGCCTTAATGATTCTCTGATTATTTGATTCTATGATCCATGGTACCGTTTTCAGTCTCCGTGTACCCACAGAGTAACAGAAATGGATAGAAGAGATGCACAATGTCTCAATATACTATGTAAAAAGTTTTACCAATATGTCTTCTGAAGACTAAAATAGGTGAAAAGAGCCTGAAGCTGTACAAATTAAAGTAATAGAAATGCTAGGTGAGAGGAAGGAAGGAAGTAATAGTCTGCATTACCTGGTGACATCCCAGTGCCCAGTCACATACACAAAAAAATCAGATTCTGGGTAGTGGCTAAGAAAGAAGAGAAAGGCAGATGAGGTGACGTGGCTGGAGTCTTTTCTGGGATCAGACATTCCCTCCTGTGCAGACAGAATGCTTAAGCACTGGACACCTTCCTGTGAGTTTTCAACAGCACCTAATTTAGGTTTTACACTATGTATTGCCATGTACGTAGCTGCAGAGAGCTATTGAAACCTTCTTAATGAGGTACTTGGGCTCCTTATATAGTCCATGAAGAGAGCCTGTGACTGACAAACAGCTGAGAAAGCCTGGGAGCTATCAGAGCTGCTCTGCAGAAAACACAAAGCACAGCGTAGCATGAACTTTTTCCCTTCAGGCAGGAAATAATTGCCTGCCTTCCCAAACCAGGGCACCTCTGTTTCTGTGTGTCACTGGATAGAGAAGTTCTGGACTAAGCAAAACAGAAAATAGGAATTAGCCATCTTCAGGGTTTGTCAGCACAGGATGGAGCTTTCTGGTTGGCTCACTGTGGTGCAAACACCCCTCACACTTTGTCTTGTTGCACAACATGGGATAGTTAACTATTTCCAGAGAGATCCAAAGTGAGCGCTGATATTAGAGGTAGACTTACAGACACATTAAAATGTAACAAAGTGTCTTAATCACCTTTTACAAGATAAATTTATCACAGAGAACCCTATAAAATGAAAGAGCAATTCCATGACAACCCTTACCTCAGATAGGGAGAGATTATTTACTGCTAATGAATGACCACCTCATTGCTATCTCATCCCCATGAATGAAATATGTGGAGGTGCAGAGTGAGGGCCTCGCATTGCACAAAAGGCATTTTGCAATCAGCTCACAGCCCTATCTAAACAGCCAGGGAACTCAGTTACACTGCTGCTCTAACGCCCAGACGCCGGTGTGCCTGACTTGAAATCCCCTGCTAACCTGGGCTCAGCAGCTTCCCAGCCCCTCCAGACTCAGCAGCCTCCATCAGCAGGATTTTCCTTCACAGAGCCTGAGGGGAGAGCATGATGAGTTCTGCAGCTTCCTTAATGAAGCCAAGACATCTCAGCCTAAGTGATATCTTCCCCTGTATAATTAAATATTGGCAGTGGCTGACTATCTGGGGCAAGTGATGCAGGTACACAGTGCCGCTGGGCTGCTGAGGTCCCAGCAGAGCTCTGGGAAGGGAACACCTGCAACACTGCTGTCCCCATGCAGGTGCATCCTTGCCAGCCAATGCAAAACACTTCCCATCTCCTTAAGACTTTGTATTGTACCCCACACAAGTCCAGGTATCCCTGATCAGCTCCAGTGACCAAAGGATCGGTGATACATGCTCCTCTACATCCAGTTGGCTCTACATTCAACTGGCTATCAAGCCTACATCCACCAAACATTTCATAGTCTCTCCTTTCCATTTCATGCATGCCCTTTCTGTGTGCTCTTCTACCCACCTGGCCACAGACTTAAACTAGTGTTCTCTAAAGCATCATCTCTCTGCTTGTTGCCTGCCCCAGTCCTGGTCAAAGCAAAGGTGAGCTGTTCTTTGCAAGGCTAAAATCTGCTGCATGAAGCAGCAAGGGCAGGACACACTCTCAAAGGGTCAGTGTTTTAGGACTGCTCCAGTGGGCATTTCAGGTAGCCTCAAAGCATAGCTGGAAAGGTCTAGGTCCTTGCTCTATCACTGATTCACTGCAGGAGCATGGATTAGTAAATAATTTCGCCTCTTTTTGCCTCCATATAAAAAAAAAAGAATTGATGATGCCTTTCCTTTGTCAGGTACCACGAGATCTCAGGATAAACACATCAGAGTCGCATTAATTCTTCTGTGGGGCTCTTGTTACTAGGGCTATCCATATGGTCAAGCACCTTTGAAGTAAACATCACCAGGAAATAGAAAAAGAGAGTTCCTACTATCCAGGGATCACAGTCCCATCACACAGTTGGACTAGGCAGTCTTAGCGATCTTTTCCAACAGTAATGATTCTGCGATTCTATGGACTGCAAACACACAGCATTATACATTTGCAGCTCTGCCATCATCAGAAGTTGATGGCATAGCATGGCCTTCCTGCCAGCTGGCATTGACTATGCTGTGTGTTTTCCTTGAGGGTCTCATAATGGCTTGGAAACTAGGAAGAATTTCTTCTCAAAAAGAGAGGTGGGGTACTGGTACAAGGTTGCCTAGAGAGGTGGGGGAGTCACCATCCCTGGAAGTGCTCAAGAGCCATGGAGATGTGGCACTGAGGGACGTGGCTTAGTGAGCAATATTGATGGTAGGTGGACAATTGGACTAGGTGATCTTAAAGATCTTTTCCAGTCTTAAGGATTCTATGATACTACGTCTTGTCCTCTTCCAAAACATGGATGAGGTAGGGAACTGTTTGTTAGGCTGTGCACAGTGCACCTACTGGAAGATTGTACAAACACAGCATCTTCTTGTCCTTGAAGAGCCTATAAATAAATGGGCTCTTACCTTGACGGCAGGCTGCAGCGTTAGTCAACACTCAAGCAGTTAATTTGTAAATTTGTACACAATAGAATTCAAGACACTTGAAAAAGCAGCAGAATGTACCTTTTTTGAGTGCGAGTGGATTTAGTGCTTGAGCAAACTGCCGGTCTAATAGGCCTAGAGACCAAGCGTTCATATTTATCCAGTAGACACAGCTCAGGCAGCTGTGGTGTTTGAGCTCCTTCCTTCATCACCCCAGCAATGCTCCCAGACCATCCCAGGGAGGATGGAAGGACATTGGCTTCCCTCTCTGCCCAGCAGCTGGTTCTATTAGAGGTGTTTGAGACCAGGTTGGAGGGGACCCTAGGCAACCTGATGTAGTGCCTTATTTAATGGTTGGTGACCCTGTCCACACCAGGGGAGTTGAACTAAATGATCTTAGAGGTCCTTTCCAAATCCAGGCATTCTATGATTCTATGATAATTATCCATTCCTTGGATATGGCTTTTTCATCAGGCCTTGCAACCTGAGAAATGACAGAACCAGATCTCCTCCCACCCAGCGTCCCTACCTCCTTCCTTCAGCTTGGCATCTGAGTCAGAAGGGAAAAAATTACATCCTGCCTTGCGTAGTTCTGGGTACTCAGCGCACTTGAAAAATAGGTCCAAGGCAGTGCATGGGAGTTGGATGTCAGAACACAACGTTTCTCTGCCAGTCTCTTGGTTTTTACGCATAATGGTTATAATCATTCTTTTTCCTACCTCCTGTTAAACTTATAGTTGAATGACAATTTAATCTTCATCAACTGCCTTTCCTCGACCATTTCAGCTATTTTTATTATCTATCGTCTTGCCACTTTGCATTATTAATTTTGGAAATTATTTTGGAAAGTTGTTTGTCCGACACAACATACCTTGTCATCCTGCTGAGTATTGCATTGCTGTAACTTCTGGCAGTCCTGCTGCACAGGAAGGCAAGGGATAAGCAAAGAGAGGACTTTGCTTTGTCACCCAGATTGGTCTTGTGTGGTGAGCTGACATCTCTTGCCTCATCCTTGCTGCATGGGATCCTATGTTGTTACTGAGGACCAAGGAACAGATCTGCACAGATGCTTCTGAAGGAAGAATTAAAAACCAGCACACGCTTAGTAAGGCTAAATGAGTATTCAGATTGGTTAATAAAAAAGTAATGAGGAATGCCTGCAGCCCTAAGCCACCTAAAGAAAATCAACAAATGCCAGCTACAATGCAAACACTTTCCATGGTAGGCAGTGGGGATTTCAAAACAAGGCAGGGAGGGCTTGCGGGGACAACAGAGGAAAGCCACAGCAGCTGCTGGAGGAAGTGCAAGGGAAAATCATGGGGGAATTTTTCACTGAAGGCAAAGACAGAGCTGCTCTGGGGAGCTCCCAGCCTAAACAAGGCACAGAGCCAGTCTGCTGCCCCAACCTCCCTGGGGCAGTTGGACTTATATGATCTTAGAGGTCTTTTCCAAACTTAGTGATTCTATAATTCTATGAAAACCTCACCCGAGTTCAAGCAATGTCTCCAAAACTTCCTCAGGCTGGGGTTCAGGTTCAAAAAAATCAGAGAATCATAGAATGGTTTGAGTTGGGAAGGACCCTTAAAGGCCATCTGATCCAACTCCCCTGCAATGAACAGGGGCACCCACAGCTCCATCAGATGCTCAGAGCCCGTCCAGCCTGACCTCAGGTGTCAGCGGGAATGGGGCACCACCACTTTTCTCTGGGCAGCCTGTACCAATGCCTCACCACACTTACTGTAAAAACCTTCCTGATATCCAATCTAAATCTCTCTTTTAGCTTGAAACCATTTCCCCCTGTACTATCACAACAGACCTTACTGAAGAGCCTGTCCCCTTTTTTCTTAATAGCTCCCCTTTAGATATCGAAAGGCTGCTCACAGGTTTCCAGAGCCTTCTCTTCTCTAGGCTGAACAGCCCCAACTCTCTCAGACTGTCCTTGCAGGGGAGGTACTCCATCCCTTGGATCATTTGTGTGGCCCTCCTGTGGACACACTCCAGCAGGTCCATGTCTCTCCTGTAGTGAGGACTCCACATCTGGATGCAGTCCTCCAGATGAGGTCTCACGGCACAGAGCAGAGGTGTGTTCTTGCAAGAATAGGTTCTTTCAAACCATCCGTGGTTTCATGAAGTATAGGGACATACTGCTCTCACTGTAGTCTGCAGTCCCAGAGCATGACCCATGGGATACTTCTGATGGGACTCATGTCCTCTAGACATCAGGGGACTTAGACCACACAAGATTCCCCTCCAGGGAGTCCCCTACCTTTCAGACATCCCTTCTGCTGCTTCCCATCACCTTCCATAAATGATGGTAGCTTAAATTCCACATCTGACGCCGAGCTAGATAAAGCTGGTGACACGTGTGCTGCTCAACGGAAAGCACTGCAGAGTGCAGCACTGGAATAGGCTGCTGAGCCTCAATCATCCCAGTGGAATGAAGGAGAGGGAAGGTAAGAGCAGAGAGGTGTCTCTCAGGAGTGTGTGAAGAGAACTCTATTAGAGATTGTGAAATGCTGAGGTACCCCGGAGACCATATAACTATCTATGACAAGACAGCAAGAATAATTAGCTCAACAGCTGTGGGTACCAATCATGAGAATTTTTAACAGCATCCTATCATGTTTTGGTCTATTACTACAGTCTGATGAGGTGTGATGCCATTTTTCCTGATGATGTCCTCCCTTCCAGGAAGCACTGAGGTACACATACACTTCAGCAGGTATCGTGAAGGTCTGTGGCATATTCTGTCCCTCATTTAAAACTCAAGCACCTTTTAAAAATGACAAGCCAAAGAATTTGAGTCTAACAGACCAGTGGGAATAAAGATTGACTCTGTGGGGGCCCCGGTGTTAGAGTGTAAATGAGCTCAGAAGAGGCCAAGCAAGCTTTAAAATGCATAGTTAAGTGGGTAAAGAGATTTCCTGGCATTCCAGGCTCAAAATGTCTCCCTCAGCAGGTTCTCTCCTGTTATTTATCTCCTCTGCACAAGAAGAGCGACTTAGCAGAGAGACCAAACTTCAGCGTGTGAAAGAATGAGGGTGGAAAAGATGAACAGTGTGTCATCCTTAGAGTGCCCTGTGTTCAAACTGGGGTGAAAGCTTCCAACTTGGTGATCACATTGTCCCAGCCACTCCTGCAATGCCTCCCAGAATGATACCTTCCTCCTCATGAGAAGCTGCATGGGCTGGCAAAGGATAGGCCAGCAACACTGACTTCTGTACCACAAATAGGAACGAAAGAAAAGGAGTATGAAATAAGAAAATCCTGGAGAAGAGCCAGGGAATGTGTTTTCCAGAAACATGTAATCTGTGATTGTGCTAATTCTGATGTATTTGTGTCTCCAATTTTTTGTTTTCCTGTTGTCTGTATAACTCTTGATTGGAACATTCGATGTTGCTTTTGTGAGTTCCTAAATCCAATCCTCTCTGATGATGTATATGAATGTGCATCTGATGGATGTTTTCCAGCACCTTTTTGTTGCCTCAATTAAGGGATAATGAACAAGAATTGTTCCTATTTGTAAAACATCTCCTGCTATTTTCTGCTTCCAAATTGGTTGGACAATGTGTCTTAATTAAACACAAAGTCTTGCAACATCATTCAGAGGAGAGAGACCAAGACTGGAAAGGGAAGGAAGAAAAGGAGGAGAAAAGAAGAGCTGAAGGACTTCAGTACTTTGAGTGACTTTATAGAATCATAGAATCACAGAATTCAAGGTTGGAAACGACCTATAAGATCATCTAGTCCAGCCACCTCCTCATCACCATTGCCACCACAAGCACTAAACCATATCACGCAGCACGTCGTCCAGACACCTCTTGAACACTGCCAGGGACGGTGACTCCACCACCTCCCTCGGCAGCCTTCCAGTGCCTGACCACTCTGAGAGAAATAGTTCTTCCTCATGTCTAATCTAAACCTCCTCTGATACAACTTGTGGCCATTTCCCCATGTCCTGGGAGAAGGCAACGTTTATCCTGGAGTTTATCCTGGAGAGACAGTGGGTTTGCTGTAGAAATGGTCACACCTTGCAGATTTCTGAGTCTGATACTGGGGGAATGGTTAAGGACACCAGAGCAATCTCCATTCAGAACCACAATTCCATAGAATGCCAAAATGAGTGCCACAAGGAATAAGAAATGAGATGCAGTGCCTTTCATTTTCAATCACCAGACAAAACATCATTCGTCTCCCAAGGAGCAAAGGGAAACAACCTTCAAATGATACTTGCTAGGTCTTACATAACGTAAGCTTACAGACCACATGTAACAAAAGTAAATAAAATAAATAGAATAAAATGAAGTGACTAAAAGAAAGAAAATGAAGTAGAGAAGGATAAATAAATAAAGTAAAATAAAATAAGATGACATTGTGTTATGTATGTCTCAGCAGAGGTATGTAGGAGAGATAAAGCTACAAGGTTTTACTAACCTCATCATTTCATCCAGGTGAGGGTGAAGCTCTCTTTGCACTGCCTCTGCAGTGAGCATGTCATACCATCTCTCACCAACACACAGTTTATATGATTTTTAAATCAAATTCTCTAGATCACAGAAAAGCATATATGGTGCAATGTCATGTTACAGCTCAATTAAAGCCATTATAATATCACTCTGTCTGTGAAAGAGCAGCTCTACCCTGATCTTCAGCTTCTATGACCTTCCCCATCACCAACCAAATACACCTGCATTATCCTCTCTGGTTAAACCCCAAGGATGTCCTTGGCTCCTGCAGCTCTGAGCCCAGTTCTGTGGAACCAGATACTGGATCCACCCCATATGCCACCTCCAACAAATGGCCAGATGTGACATGTGAGGGTAGGATGAAGTTGTGCACCACACTGCAGTTGCTTACTGGTCTGATTCCATCTCCAGCTCTTTTTGCAGCCTCAGTCAAACTTCCTCATCCCTAGAGGACTGCAGGAAACCCTCACCATGTCCACAGAGCTGATAAATGGAGTCATGCATTCAGAGCTGAACAGACAATGCTAGTTGAGGAGGGAGGCAATAGGAGTCCTTGGAGCCTGTGTTACACATGCAAATACCATCTGTGAGAGGCAGCTCTGTCTCCTTTAACACTGCTTGTAATCCTGATGTCATCCTCTTCACTCACACGATGTTTATTTTGTCACTGTGTGTCAGCACAAGAGCAAAACCATGTGGGGCAGGAGGACTGTGCACAAGTCCTGAAGCCAAGTCTTCCTCCCCTCAGAATACATGCGTTTAAATATAGAAACAGAGAGGCATGACAGAAAGATGAGGGAATTGCATCTGGTCTTTGTCATCTCCATGTAAGTCCATAGTGGCATCTGCAAGCCAGGAGCGGCTCCAGCTGAAATAACAGCCCAACCCTTCCTGTCTGCTGTGATATCCTGGGCAAGCCTGTGCCCTGAGCATGGCTATTTCTTCAGATTTGTTCCAAGGATGCTGGGAGCTGAATTTGGATCTGTGCAGCAAATATATTTCATTAGTTCCAGTTTATCTAATCCATCTATAGCTGAGAATTTAGGAGAGGTTAAATTCCATGACTTAATGTGGATAAAAGAAGGGATGTTAACCCATCTGGATCCTTACGCATCCTTGGGTTCACAGAATAGAAAGCAGCAACGTAAGCATCTCCCATTGCTCTGACTCAAAGCCTCAGTCTGCAAGCACCTTGCCAGACAAGAGAGAGAAGCTGCATTTCCATGGTCCCCTCAAACCCCATATCCCCTGAAGCTGCCAATGAAAGGATAGGCTACTTTGTTCTTTCTCTTGATACCATGTAAAATGTGCATGGGTACTCCAGAGATGAGACTCCTGTAACAAGGAGATAAGCTCGAGGTACTGGCAGCTCTGGTGATAGGGATCGGGATGGCTGAGTGCTGGGCACAATGCTGAGGCTCTCAGGAAGACATCAAATGGGCTGATAAGAATATCCCCTTCCCAAGCAGAGTAGAGACCCGGTGGCTAGAGCTGTATCTTTTCCCCACATGGGCTCCCTCCTCTTCTTTGTAATAAAAACCCTTGTGCATAGACCAAGGGAAATAAAAGAAGCCAAACATCCCTTCTGCTCCTTCCCCAGGAGGGGACTGTGCCAGCTTGGTGCTGCTTTCCCTCATCTCCCCCTTTCCTTCTCCTGTCCCCATTCCTTCTGACTGGCTTCAAGAATCAGCAAAGCCAGAAACGTCCTAAGTAGGAGCTGCTCCCTGCATAGGAGGTGCCATAGGGTTCACTCTTTTTTCTACTGCAACTTGAAAAAAATATTCCGCTAGCCACTCAATAATTAATGCTTCTGAGCAGTGATTCAGCATGTCAGGAAGAGAATTTTGCACTCTTATTGTAGTCTTTTGTAATTGAATCTTATGCTGTTATATTAGTGTGGCCCCAGATGAGTATGCAATAGCTGAGGGGGGAAAAAAGAAAGGTAAGATAAAGGAATTACAATAGAGCCAGGCTAATGTGAGAACAAGGCAATGTCTTCTGTGCCTCAAGGTGTTAAGTTAATCTCTGATAAGTTATTAACTTATTAATGGGCTGAGAAGGGATGAACTACTTTTCATCCAAAGTCCCAAGTGCTCCTCATCTGCTTCCACATCCTCCTCCTTGTCAACCAACTCTCCTTTAGTGCTGCTTTCCTGCTGCTCTGCCTCTGTATCGAGTCAGCTAAAATGAATTCTGTGCAGAAAAGCTCCTGCATGAAGCCATAAGACTGTGCTCAGAGCCTGGAACATGGGGATTGCAGGAAAGATTTGGGGGCAAAAGTCATAGAATGAAAGAATCATAGAATCATTAAGGTTGGAAAAGACCTCTAACATCATCCAGTCCAACTGTCCACCTACCACCAATGTCACCCAGTAAACCATATCCCTAAGTATCACATCAATGTGTTTCTTGAACACGACAGCACAAAACCTAATGAAGAATCCTCAAAAGTTTATTATTAATCTATCCTATATCTCAAGTTGTTAACTAGTCAGTGATGTGGAAAAATATAGAAAGATCAAGCAAAAGGACTCAGGGTCATACATGTGCATCCCAGCTCTCATTCAGCACTGTGCTCACAGGGAATCTTTCCACACTGGAGGACATACAGCACGTTATCTGGGACCACGACATTTACCATCAGTTCTGAAGTTTTCTTCTTCATAGTTCTTACTGATTCCAGTTTCTCAAAGAAAAAAATGAAAAAAAAAAAAAAAAAAAAGAGTAGGAGTTTAAAACTGATTAAATGAAACAAAATTCTTCTGCTGAGGCAGACAGCAACTATGATGGGAAAGTGAGGCTCATCACTGTGCCTGCCCCTTGGATGCTTGTTGTTGCTGGAGACCTCTTGGGAGTTGAAGCCTGGTCTCTGGTGCCTTGGTGAATCAAGGTCTGGTTGCAGCTCTCTCTCAGATTTTATTGCTTCTCATGGTTGAATGCTCTTTGCCCCTGAAGCATCTCACTCATCCTCTCTCAAAGTGAGGGGGACTGCTGTGCTGGAAGAGCTTTCCGTCATCAAGACCAGTGCAGACCCTCAGAGCACCAATCTAAAAACCCAACTCATTTAAGTGCCTTCCTCCAGGTCTCTTGTCTCAACCATGTAAAGAAGACAAATGAAGCTCATGATCACAAGGTGTAAAGCTCCCTTCTGAGAGTGGTTCAACAAGGGACTGACTGAGGGTTTCTAATGTGATATTCCTGTGACGTAGGCAGAATTAGGTTTTAATGCTACTGGGGAATGACTGGATATTTCCTTGCCTCAGAGAAACAGAGTAAGGTGGATCAGCACGTCAACACAGCATCTTCCAAAATCCTTATTGAACCAGAGCCTCCCTGCAGTGCCCTGCCAGACCATGACACTGTTTCTCCACTGTTAAAAGCAAACTGTGCTTTCAGTCTTCCCTTCCCTGCTCAGGCTGTAGTACTGAGATTGCATGAAAAAATAAATAGGATAAAGTGCATTATAATCTGCAGGAAATGATGAACCTGATAACTCTTCCATGCACAAAAGTGACCTTTAGGCCAGAGGAAGTCATGGCCCATCTCAAACCTTAGCACAAGGCAGGAGAGAGAAGGAAAACAACCCTCAGTCAACTCTGGAAAAACACCCAGGGGTCTTTTTTTGAGTCAGCTGAGGCTTCAGCCCAAATCTCTCCGTTTGCTCAGAGACAGGTTGGCATCTCTGTCTGTGCTGCTGCTGCTGCACAGGGTAAGGAGCTCATTGGAGCATGAAAGAGATTGTGATAAAGATACACTGACTGCCATTCTCTTTCCACTAGAAACAGGCTCGGATTTCATATCTGGATGACATCTCAAACACCAGCACTGGAGAAGGGGGAGGGAGGGAGCTGCTCTTTCTTTGCCCTTCCTGTTTTTGATATTGTGATTATTATTTGCAATTATTTATCATTAGGGTAGCTTTTCAGGTATATAAATAGATGCAGAAGCAGTCCTATTTCCCTTCCCTGCTTCAGAGCACGCACCTCTTTTATGCTTCACCCAAGCTGCTTGAATTGTTCTGGAGATAAAAGCTTTTGCTGAAGATTCCCCTGCATTCCCACTTCGTGAGCTACTCCCATGCCAGTTCTGCTTTCCAGCAATATCAGCTGTGCATACAAATTCTCAGGCTCATCTGGATGAATCCTCTTCTGCCAGACGGCTGTTTGAAAGCATTCCCTGAGACCACGTGCCGTTTGCTCTGCAAGGCTGTCTGGCGCCAATGTTCCCTAGGAAGCTGCTGCCCTGCCAGGATGTGATGTACTTATCACCATGATGGGGAAGGGGTAAAACACCTTCCATCTCTGGGGCATGCCTGCAGTGAGCAGGCTTTCCTAGCCTTTGCCAGGTGACAGCAGTTCCAAGATGGTCTTCTGTCAGCTAAAGTCCATAATTCATGCCAGCCTGTGAAGCCTAGGATGGTACCATAGTAACTGTTACCCAAATTACTTTCTGTGTCATGAAGCAATCAGGAAAGCAAAACTGGGTCTTGCAGGCATCCAGCTAGCAAGAAGTAATGACCTACAGAAAACTAGGTCAAAATCTGCTCTCTGTCCCACATGCCTTGTGAAGCCTTTGATGTGTTGCATCACTGGGTCTCACTTCTCCCTCTGTAAATGTGGGGATAAAGCAGCACTGTCCCATCTCACAAAGGTATGAGAGTTTAAAAACCCCCATGACCAAGTCCTCACATCCTCCAGCTTCAAAAACCACCAAAAACTTCTGAGAAATAGTTTTGTTCCACCAAGGCAGTATGAGCCGGAGTATTGCCGGAGTTGAGAAAAGGGAGACCTGATCAGTTTCCTGCCCCATACAGCAGCTCTGGGGAAGAGCAAGAGGGGCAGTGTACATTCTATTACCCTGATCCAAGTTGTCATTCCCATTCATATTTATGAAGCATCAAGATCTTAAGCACTTTCACAAAGACCTAGCGCTTGGCCAAAATCACAGGAATCAAAAAGAAATTGTCAAGACCTCATGATTATGACCGCAGCACAAACACAGAGAAGTAATTCCAAACCACAGCCAATACCTCACTGTCAGATGGAGATAATCATCCAAGCAGACTTCCAAGTGGTGAGCTCCAGTGACGAATGGAGGCAGCCCTCCTCACGGACACAGGAATTTAGGCATCCTCTGTGTTTTCCACACAAAACCATAAATCACCCATGGCACTACAACGGCTTCAGAACAAAAAAAGGTTCCCAATGAAGCAGGGATCTCCTTTAAATGCATGAAGTAGTTAGTGCTCAGTTAACTCACACAGTCACACCGACTCCATGTGATGAGTTCTAATGCATGAAGGATACCAACCAGAGCACTGATTTACCACTTTCCTCAATTCAAAGGCTCATGCCCTCCTCCAAAAATAGAAATGGAAGTTACTGCACTTGTATTACTTCCTATGTCCCTTAACCTGCACTTCCAGAGCCCTTCATCTCCCCAGAATTATTGCCCTCTGATGCAGCATTATCCCATGTTGACTCGTTGTCATATTCATGACAGCATTACAGTCTCTGGAGGAAAAGGGCTCCTGGCAGTACTGCTGTGAGAGACCCTTTATTATATTGACGTCAACAGAGATTGCCTCTTTGATAAATGAGCATGTAACTATGAATAAATACAGGAGTATATTTTATATGTATTGTATATCTGCAGTGGTAGAGGTTTGTGCAGGCGTGTGCTTTTAATATTCATGTAGGATACAAGGCAGTAGTAACTGGCAACTGTAGGTTGCTGTATTTATACTGTAATGACAACTGGAAGACTTCAGAGAGCCATCTAGACAAAAAGTTCCCACTGCACTCATTCTTTGCAACATCTGGGAGATACCCATCCTACACTCTGACTGGGTGGGATCATGATTAGAGGCCACAGGATCTTTCTGTGAAAATGAATTTACTCAGTTTTGTTGGCCTGCTTTCTGCTCTCTGTTGACGCAAGAAAGCTAAGGAAGATGGAACTTCCCATGTATTCCCAAAATGACACAAGAAATTACCTCCATGAGAATTATTGTCTTCTTAGAGAAGATGTGTAAGTGTGGAATTGCCGCTGGATTGCTGTGGTATATCACAAAAATGGTGCATCCAATCAAAGGCTGGGAAGAAACAGGTCCAGAACAGTTCAAGAAGCAAAGTCAGTCTCCAAAGTCAATCTTGATTGCCAAAGCCTATAGAGTGGAAAGTAAAAAAATACTACTGCTCTACAGCCCCATGTCTGAGAGCCCACACCAATCCACATGTGAGGCATAGTCTCCGTCTGCTGCCCTGCGTGGGGAGCAGAGCAGGAAACCACCACATTGAAACAATTCCCTATAAGAAGGGGAGCTGGACTTGATGATCTCCAGATGTCCCTTCCAACCCCTATAAACCCATGATTCTACAATTCTGTGAAGCCAAAGGAGGGTAGAACAGTGTTTCACTGAAGAACTCAAAGAGGAACAAGTGACCTTCCTCTGAGAGCTTAACGAGAGGTGCTGGGGAGCCAGCCCAGCCTGGACATTATCCTCCAACCAGCCTCTGAAGGAAGAGGATTGGGAAGGAAGGGAGAAAGGACTTTATCATTCTCATATCTCCCCACAACAAGCTCATAGTCCCCAGGGAAGGGAATAGCAATCTGCCTCTTGCCTGGCACCTCTCTGCCTGAAACCTTGCTCTGCACGGAAGCAGAGGAAACTCATTTCCCTGTTCAGGGGCTCCTTCTGCCCCATAACAGCTCCTTGTTATATTCTCTTAAAAGTTTAGAAATTGTCTTTGAATAACAAGATAACAACAAGGTGATGGTTACCAAGGGAACAGCCCTTGAGAAGGTCAGGCTCTTCCGGGGAATTTTGTGCTTTACCTTGGCTGAAAGTTTTTCCAGAGCAATCAGGCCAGTGTCTTTGCATCCTGGAGAAGCAAAGCCATCATCCGCTTGGAAGAGGACTGAAAAGAGAGGAAGGGCATCACTCAGATTTCCCACACCTGCATGCCACATTCTGGGGCAGTTACCCTCAAAATTGATACCATCAGCAGCTTTCAACCCAGGGATATAACTAACAGACCTCTGCAGTGATGAGTTCCAAACTGAATTTGCTTGGAGGCAACAGTAGAGGTACAGAGCAAAAAATATCCCCAGAGCACAACATAGAAAACTGTGTCTACAACTTGCCTGAAGTACATCAGTGCAGCCCTTGGAGTTCTTGTATTTCCACAGGGCTTTGGTACATTCATGAAGAGAAAATTCAGCTCTCCAGGAAAGAGTGATAAAAGGTGATAGGTGTAAGCATAAGCTCTTCCATACCAGGGCAACTACAGAGTGATAGAATATGGTGCAGTTCTTGCTGTCACAGGATCTCCCAGAGACAGAGTTCAGATTCTGATGCTGCCCTTCATGTGCTAATTACTCAATGTGGTATCTTCCCAGCCACAGAGGAAGGCAGAGCTCCACTCTTTTCAGAAGGTAGTTATCCGATGAGCGGGTTCATTGGAAATCAATGGTGGTTATCAATAACCAAGTGCTGTTTTTCCAGTATTTGGTGCTGACTGCTCTAGGAGAGGGCTGTCTAAGTGGGCAAAGTGTGGGTACAGCAGCACACAGCAACTATTATGCCAATGCTACTGGTAATATCTTTGATTTGCAGTGCCTTTGCTATCCTAAGAACTTACTTGAGTTAAGCAAGGTATAAGAACCAAGAAACAGCCATTTTTAAGCTCCTGGTGTATGTTAGAGTGGCAGCAGATGGCATTTTTCTCCTCTAAGAACCCTGCCAGATTACCTTACCCTCAGCACTTCAACTAGGAACTCTTTCAAAGTCCTTCACTAGGAAAAACACTTTCACTAGTGAAAACCTATACCTTTGTTGGCCGCAGTTGTGAGTCCTGCTAGTGGGATCTCAGGAGGCTCTCTTTCTGTGTAGAAGAGTTACTTGATTTACTCAACGTTAGTTACATTCTAGTCCCCGGTAGGGTCAGACAAACAAGTTCTCCCTGCTGCAAGGAAAGAGCTGGCTCTACTAAACATAAATGTTAAGGCAGATCAGCCAAGGTGTTACCACCTCTCATGGAGCTGCCATGAGCTGTGATGCTCCATGCTAGTGGCCAAGCAGATAACTGCTAGGAATGAAACTCTTCCCCAGCTTCAAAAGCAACAAACGCAAATGAAAGCGCTTACCTGCAGCTTGACCTTCACAAAAGAAAGCCCAGCTAATCATGCTGATCCATCAGTGACATATGGTTTTGAAAGAACACATTTTGATTTGCAGAAAAATATATGTTCCCAGCGCTGAGGTGTTTGGTGGTTGCACTGAAATAGATGTTTTTGTGCTGAATTGCTGGGACTGAGGGCATTTATCTCCTCTTTCTCAAACACAAAGTCAACACAAGTAGTCTTTATAATCTGCCCAATGCACAGCCTTTTTGCTCAGTGTGTGGGCTCTGAGCACAGCCCTCACCACTCACATCCACCAGGCAGGCACACTTCCAGCTGATTTACTGATACTTAATAATTAAATGCCAGGTGATCACTCAACCCTGGTGAGTAGGTGTTCAATAACTACAGAGAGGAACCATCTCCAGGCAGCCCACCCAGCCTGCTTCATTGCTCAGCACCAATGCAGAGCTGAGTCAAGCCACACACACTATCTCTCACCACAATTCTCACCTGTTCACCCATGTCAGAGACTTTCAAGATGTACAGGATTAGGATTGTGCAAGAAAACATTCTACAGAAGGAAGGAGTCAGTCACCCTGCATTTGCTCAGGGAAATTATGTATTAAAAAAAAAATGGCTAACCAAGAACAATAAAGCTCTGCTGCCCTCCCAGTACACTGCTGGTGTTTATATCTGTTTCCCAGTGTCACCTTTTGCAAGGCAGCACTTTAGCCTTGTTTTAACATTGCTCTTTGTTCTGTCTTAGCATTGCTGTTTCTTAGCAGGCAGGGACACTGCTTGGCACCTAACAAACTGCATCCTTTCCTTCTGTGCCTTTGTAATAATAATAATTCTCTGTCCTGACACATTCAGCTGGAGCACAGAGAACACTGTCAGCTTAAAAACCACCACCACACTTCTGGGATTTGAAATCCAGCAGTACCTGAGATGACTGAAACAGGAAGAATTTTTGAAATCCAATTTGTTCTCCACTCTTTCTACCTCACTGTTTGCATTTTCAGTTTCTCTCTACTTGGGGGATGAGGCTCACCATTAGGCACAAGTTTATCAGTGCTTGGCTCTCGGATTGTCACTTCCCAGCCCTGCAGGTGGCACTACCCTTCCCCTGCAGAAATGACACCCCCACCACTTTTCTTCCAACTCCTGTCCAAAAAATAAATAGCGCAAGAATATTTCTGATGTTGTCAGGCTTTGTAATAGTTCGTTCATTTCAACCCTAAATTTGGGACTCAATTTGAGCTGGCAGTAGCTGTTTAATATACAGGACCTGTCTTATTACATCTCCGTCTAATGCATATTTGGGAGCTTTCCCTGAAAGCTCTTGTATAAAGGAGTATTATGACATCAGGAAGTCTAAAAGTACCTGAACTGCAGATGTGATAAATTCAGCAGGATGATACGTGCCCGGCATTTGTACTTGCCTTTTTCCATTGGCAAATGGCCGCCTGGGCTCTATCCCTTGGGATAGCTGTAGAGAACAGCCAGTTTGATGAGCCTAACCAGCCATTGGATGTCACTTTGGCTCCACACTAATTCGAGGGAAACAGCATTTATCTGGCAGCCAGGCAGCCAGCTCTTCGGCAGCTGAGAGTTTAATTATCAAAGGTTCAGGCGAATCTTGCTCTCGCTATCTCTGACCAGCTGCCACAGAAAAATAGACCTTCTGGCCCCATCCAGAAGTTTGTGAAGCTCTTGCAAGTTCCCTTTCGCTGTTAAAATGAGTCCCCGACCATTTGCCCTTTCCTGTGAAAGCTCTGGGCTGGATGCCACTACAAAATAAGAAACTGTGAAAATAATACAGTGGGGAAGGGCTCTTGGTGGATGGGACTGAGCAAGTTGCAGGCAGGAATGGAAGCACTGGGCTCCAGCTGGTGCCTTGATCCAACTGTGGGTGTTCTCCACTTGTGGGACACTGTTTATTCACAGCCTCACACTGCAATTACAGAACAGAGCCACTGTCTGTCTTGTACTCAGCCCTGCTTCCACTGGCTGTTATCAGCCCAAGCAGCCAGTGCAAAAAGCAAGAGCTATGCCTCCCCACTCTGCTCCTCTTACAGGGTTTAAACGCTCCTGGTTTCCTCTCCCAGCTTTGCTGTCAACAACAATCAGTCCCAAAACAAAAGTTGTTGGTACCCCCCCCAGGTTCTGCTCTGTGCTCGGTGGCAATTGGTTGATGGTTGGATTGGATGATCTTAGTAGTCTTTTCCAACCTTAATGATTCTATGATTCTATATCCAGATTTACCAGGTGTGTTATTCCCTCCTCCAGACCAGAATAAGGAGCTATTTCCTATAGATCCTTCGTGCTTTCACATTAGGGGCATCCCTGCCCTTTAAGTTCTGCAGTGCTGGTTAATAATGGGGCCACCTAAGTGCATATCAAGAGAGTTTGTAACTTATGTGCTAGTGATGCACATGCTTTTCTTTATTCTCAGGCTCTCTGCAGACACAATCAGACCCAATTGGCCATTCTCAAGGCACATTTATCTTTTGAATATGAAGGCAATAGACTCAATTACGTTTTTCGAAGGTAAACTACGGTTCTGGTGAGCAAATTAGTTATCCCTCCATTCTTCCACAAAATGCCATCAGGAAACCATCACAAGCAAATACTATCAATCTTGATCTGTTTTGCCCAGTTTGTCTTAGCTATCAGCAAGGAACTGTGCAGGGAAATATACTCTCTCTGCTCTTCACCCAAGAAAAATCTTTCCAAAGCTTGGGGATAATTTTCATAGGTGAGACACCAAGCCAGCCACTAAGTAACTAGTGAGAGAATCATAGAATCATAGAATGGCTTGGGTTGAAAGGGACATTAAAGATCATCTAGTTCCAACTCCCCTGCAATGGGCAGGGTTGCCAATCTCTAAATCAGACACTAAATCAGGTTGTCTCCATGCTACCTGGCCTTGAACACCTCCAGGGATGGGGTATCCAGAAATTCCCTGGTCAGCCTCTTCCAGAGAAGGAGGACGAAGAAGGAGCAGGAGCCCGTAAATCACTGTAACTGGTTGGAAAACAGGAAGAAAAGCATACCTTAGAAAGTTGTAGAAAGTTCCTTGCCGAAATTTGTTCCTGAGCTCCCCCTTGATGTCCAGAGGCACTGTCATTGAGGCCAGGTTGCCTTGGGTGTCTCGTTTTCCCAACCTGCATGAACAAAAGTGTTTATTTAACACCATCTCCCCAGGGTTTCCTCAGATCCCTAATCTCCAGACCTGACAGTTTACTTACAGCATCGCCAACTGCAAACTGATTAGTCCAGTCCCCATTCCCTTCTCCCCCATGGTTATCACTTTTATTAACAGCAAGGGAGTGATAATGGGGAAAGATGATCAAAGCTGCTGGTATTAACGCTGGGGATTAACGGTATTTATATTCCTGATCAGTGCACACTTGGTGTGGAGAGGAAACCGCCACAAATCAGCTTTTTCCAGCAGAGAGTTGCTGCAGTGCCACTGCCTAAATAGCTGCTGGCTAATGAGCCCTTTGTGGCTGGCTAAGGAAACAGCTTTCTCACTCGGCTGCTTCTCTTGCAACCTAATGCCTCCAGGTTTGCATCCACCATGGCATCCAGGCACCAGGTCTTGGTTTTCCAACTAGTCCTGGGGAAAATGCCTGCTGCTGAGGACAAGCGTGCTGGTGTGGGGCAAGCAGCTGAGCTGCTGTTTTGGCCAGTTCAAGTCAGGATTATACCATGTTACCAAACAAACACCTTATATCTCAGTCTGGAACTTCAGGAGAACCACAATGAGTGCCACATTAGTGGGGTGAGGAAAGAAGAAAAAAATCCATGCCAAGTCTTACATATAGGGAGGGAGAATGAAGCCTTCTGCAGCCATCCAGAGAGAATGGATGTGTTTAATAAAGCTGTTGTATATTGATTCCACTTAGATTCCAGAAGCAGCTCAGTGGCAGGGGCAGGAAGCAGGACTGGCTGGCCTTGGTCACTCATTGTTGCTGGCCACAAAGCAGCAAAACATGGCATAGAGCTTCACACGGCAGGCACTGGAGGCCAGTGCAATCAACAGAGAGCACATGGAGGGCATCAGAATCAGCGGAGCTGGTAACAGACTCCTTCTGGGAGACAGAATTTCATTTCACTTTGAGGAGAGAGGATACATGGAAGCTGTCCACTTCTCTCCTGCCTCTCCCAAGCACTGTGTGATGTGTTACACAGCCCTGATCTTCAAAAAGCCCACAGATAGGCCCCACTGTAGGACCTCAACCAGAGAACAGAGCATGGATTTCAAAGACAACCTGTGGAAAAAAGTCTTTTCCATACCATCCAGTCCAAGCAAGCTGGCCACATTTCAATACTGAGTTAAAACAGTTAATCCAAAGCCAAGGCATTCTGGCAAATAAGTACTTTTTAAAAGGCAGGGAAACAGATGCCTTGACCACCAGCTCTGAGTAGCTCTTGGTATCCACCTAGTAAGAAAAGTTAAGCCTGGCTGTGATCTGCAAGTCTGAACACTACCATTTGGCCTATAACATGCTTCATCAAGAAAACTCTATCCAGAGACTAGCTGGGAGATCATCTTCCTGATTAATATTAACAAATAAGGTATCTTAAAGAATATCCTGCTTGTTTGCAGACAATTTAGGATCATTACTCCCTTTATGATCAGTTAGATATCTTTGACTGTTTGCACAACTATTTCTTCCCCCTAGTCCTCTATGGTTCATCACTTTCTGTTTCTCCTCTGTGCAGTGTAATAATGTTGAAAGGGTTTATTTATATAATCGTAATAGGCTCTTGTGGAGATTATCATTATGTCACAAGTATAGGTCAGGGAGTTTTGGCTGAAGAATGAATTACAAAGGGAGCATGGAGGCAAGCCCTGCTGTTTTAGTGCACGCTCCCATCCATGCACATCACGGACCACCTGCATCCACATGCATGCACAATTCACACACCTGCAGATATTGATCCCGCATGTGGCCATGCATAAACAAAAGCTGACTTGTTCTGGCACCTCAGAACACAGATTTTTACCCACAAAACAGGGAATTGACAACAGAGGGGAGAGGAGAGGTTTTACACCTGGAGGTAAATGAAAAAGAAAGCTGTGAATTGAAGGAAACTGGGTGAAATCAATTGGGGTAAAGTAGAGGACAGTAGTGATGCTCCTAAACTTCTTTTCCCCCATTCTTTGGCCTCTGCACCTTCTCTCCACACACACAGTAAAAATCCTCTCTTCTTGCAGAACTCTGCAGGAATTGCAAAGCCCTAGGTGATCCATGGGGACTAACCAGCCCTACATACAATCACCTTGCTTATACTTGCCAAAGCTATTTTAGATTACCCGGCTGCCTTTTAACACCTCTCAGCCAAGATTTTCTGGAGAAAACCTTTCATCCCATAGGGTACTTTCAAAGTCATGACAGCCTGTACAGCCTGTCAAATAGAATAATGTGGACTTCTTACACACTCTATCTTAAGGATGTATTCATCAGCAGGTCAGGCTCTGCTCACATCTTGTGAGACGAACGCAAGTGTTTTCTCTGCATGCCTGCATCCATCCAAGGACAGCAAAATCACTAGGAGGTGCTCTTCTAGCAAGATTTGATTGGAGGCGATGCAGAATAACCAACTGGCACTAGTGTGCTCTGGATAAATGGAGCTCTTTGCCTTGGGATCATGATTTCAGAGGAAGGTCAGTGCACTGTTGACCACTATTTGTCATCCTTCAGCAGCAACTCAACAACTTCTGTGGAATAAGGAGCTGCTCTTGGCTTGGGTCCCAGTAGAATGAGCATCAGCGTCACTGCACTTGGTGTCCTCACTGGATTCCTGGCTGACTCCACAGGGAAATAATGAAGCAATTCAGAGAGCTCATCTCAAGGGTTAGCACCTTGATGGGAGTTCACTCATCAAGTGAGTAACACAGCGGGAGGTTCTGCTGGGTCTTGGAGCTGAGAACAGAAACGACTGCTGAGCTCCAACCCCATGTGAAGAACAGACAACACCATCGAAGTCTTACATGCAATCAAAAACTCCAGCTAACATCGAAAGAGGTCAGAATCTGTGGAAAAAAGTCAAATGAAAAGCAACCAAAACGGCTACATATCAGCTGACTTGCAAGGACAAGTATTGAAGGGACACATGATGAGGTTATGGGTTTGGTGAAGGAGATAAGCCTTCTCCCACCTTCCTCACCCCCTTTGCTCCATGCCCAAAGCAGGACTGTGGGCATTGCAGTAGTACATTCATAGTGCTCCTGCGCTGCTGTACCCACATGAAACACCAAGGAGGGAGGGAGGGAAATAAAAGCCAAATGAACTGTCCAGGTGGCCTGCGGGCCTTAAATTAAACATCCCAGTATATATTGAAATAAATGTGATAAACCAGGTCACTATCACTTGCGTGAAATTCAGTTACTCTTTTAAATCATCATTATCACCGTCATAATTAAAATCAAGCAACAGCTTAAAGAAACTAATGAATATTTTTATATGTGAACTTATCACATGAAGGGAGAAAAAAACCTGTAAAGTGAAAATGTGCCTGTATTGCTAATAAATATTATTGGAGGGACTCCCAGCTTTTTACATTACCACAGTGTGATATGACAGCCTATAATGGATTACTCAACTGCCCGAAGCCATTGTAGGAATAAATCCCTTTTAATATTCATGTGCGGTCTTTGAGAAAATAGATGTAAGCAGTTAATACTTTTCTATAGACAAAACAACGCAGTTTATCAAAACAAAATGTGTGCTTGAAAACAAAACTCACAGAGTTCCTGTACTCATTCTTTTTCCACAAATCAGAAAAAAAATAGGACCCTCCCTCTCCAAAAGGACAATCTGGGGCAAGATGGTGCACAGAAAGAAGGACGGGGAGAGGCAGGGTAGTAGCAAGGGTGTATAGAAAAGGGGAAATGGTACTTAAAAAAAAGATAATGAATAGTTTGTGAATATGTGCTATGGGCACCAAACCAGGGTGCTGTAGGAGGAAGGTGTGGACTGGCACAGGGTTGTTGGCTGCCCCATAGAGAACTCATGGACTAAAGGGAGACTATGGGCAACATACAGGAATGAAGAGCAGTGATACTGGGTGATGCTCAGGATTAGCAGCTTTTATTGGAGGGAAGAAGATTGTAGTGAAAGATGTGAACAGGGAGCCCCTTGCAGGGTCAGCTCAGGGCTCTCCCTACCAGCCCTCTTCTCCATGTCCCTATTTTTTCTTTTGCTTCTAATCTGTACAACATGCTGGGGTTTTATCTCTGCTTTGTTTGGTTTTCTTTCCCCTTTTATGCAGCAGAAGAAGGAAAGCAGCAGCTTCGACAAGTCTATGTGAATTTTTGCATGGTAGGGCATGAGAGAGCAATGGAGCTTAACCATAACCCAAAGAACTTGCCCCAGCTCTTTGCAGGCAACTGATGCTTACAGAGAGAACCAGAAAACAAAATCCTCTTGGGGTCTGGAGGGGATGACTTCAGCCTCTTAGAGGTGAGGGGGCAAAAATGAGAGAGTTCATCTTACAAAAGTAGACACAGATGAAATGTGAACCCAGCAACTGTGACCTCTGGCTGTAAATGGCTGTAGACACACCTGAAACTGCAAGGGGGAGAGATGCAGAAACTCTTCAGTTCCTCTCTTACTGTGAGATCTAGGCAGCAAAGACAAGCTTAAGTCAAGGAATAAATAAGCTATCCTTGGGACTCATGCTGTTTTGATATCGGTAGCTGCCTGGTGGGCATAAGGTTTGGTTCACTCTTACCTTCTTACCTATGTTTCAAGAGAGCCTAGGGTGGTATCTTTTGCCTCTGCAGAACCACAGCAAAAGCAGATCAGGGTCTGTCCTGGATTGGAGTAGGTACAGTCCAGGCTGAAAGAGAAACCATGTTCTTGAAGAAAATCAGCTCAAAATGAAGTCCAAGAGACTGACGCTGTTCTCAGTGCTGCAGGACTGGGGCAGTCAAGAGTCTGCAAAGACTCACAGAGGATATAATTTGACAATCATGCCAAAGGGATGTTAATTGTGTTCTCTTTTCCCCGGCCACTGGTTCCCACGGAGTAGCTCAGAGTCACCTATCGAACCACCCCACATTTATCATACAATCATAGAATATCCCAAGTTGGAAGAGAGTAAGGGTCACTGAGTCCAACTCCTGGCTCCACACAGGACCAGTCAAAAATCAGACCAAACGCCTGATTTAGATACTCCCATGCTTGAAAACACCTTATCTGGGAAGGGAGAAATTATTTTTATTATTTAAAATATTCAGTTTTATAATAGTAATCTGGCCACAAAGACAGGAAAAAAACTAAAGGAACTTACCATCTTGGCCCTTTGAACCAACCAACTCAGGTTTTATTCTCACGTCATGCTCATGGAACAGTGGGATTCCCCATCAGAGCAAAACTTCAGCTGTATGACCATCAGTGTTGGAAAGACTCTTCAAACAGAAACATTCCAGGGACAGCTGCACAGATAACATTTTTCTTCACCTCTTTATTCATTTATTGTCACAGAAAGCTTGTTACTGGAAACACCAGGAGTGTCCCTTCAAATGTCAGATAGTCTACATTGGGTGATGTGAAAGTGGGACAGCTTTATAGGTCACACTCTTCTTTGAAATGAAAAAGGTCCAGGAGACAATTGGGCACCAAAACAAGAAAAATTCCTCCCACCCACCTCCTTTCAGCAGAGCATCGGTGTGTCTTGCTTAGAAAGGGAAAGAAAAAGTTTCACCTTCTAATTGTTGCATTGAGTAGCTCATTGACAGTGCTTTCTGTTCAATACTTTTCTTTATCACTCAGATTGTCTAATCAAAGGCTTTTTCCTTCCTTGGGTTAGTTTTGCAGTCTCTAGCATTGATCCAAAATCGGAAGTGTAAGAGGAAAACAGGCTCTGGGAATAGTGAATACAATTAGCACCCAAGCAGCTTCATTTTTGGGGGGTGCCTTTAAACATCTTGCAACTCTTTGTCTATTCTCCCATTCTTTTATTCTCCCTTTTGTGCTCAGGAGGCTTCTTTAAGGAAAGCTTTTGTCAGCAGCTCAGGGAGAAGATTAAAGCACCCATCATGGGGAAACAGGTTATTTTTTGTGTCCAAGTTCTTAATCCACTTTATTAAAATGTTCCCAATCTTCCTTCAAGAGGAGAGATCAGAAGGACATTTCCCTGTCACCCCTAGCATGCATTCCTTCCGGATACTTGTGCTTCATTAGAGGATGAAAAAAGCAAAGGCAAGGCAAGGCAAAGAAGAGAGAACAAGACTGCTGTGACTGGTTAATACAGGATGCAGAGCCTTCCATTTCATGGTCACTGGTACTGCTCTGGCCCCAGGCTGGAAGCAATTGAAAGCTTTTCCCATCTGAAAGACACTTGAATCAAGTCAGAGATCTCTAACTATTTTTACCTTTGAGGTTCAAAGAGGAGAAGAACATTTGCAGTGAGCAAAGTCAAGCATCCATCCAGCCTGCTGTCCCGTTGTAACAGCAGCAAGGAAAGGGCACAAAAAGGGTGAGGGAATGGGGCTGCTGTGCTCCGTGCTCTGCCTGGTATTTTCCCACTTGAAGGGAGGGATCTCTTGGTTAATAAATCTTGATGATTTTTTTTCCATGGTTTTGTCTGCTCTTCTTTTCTGGATGTCCGTAATCCTTCCATGCATTTGCCCCTCTAACAGCAAAGGTGAGGGACAGCAGCACGAGCTGCTAGGTGGGTGCCTCTAATCTCTGGGGCACCTGATGGGTGACATTTTGTGAAGCTTGAAGGCTAAACATCATTAAGACCCTCAGAAAAAAAAAGAAAAGAAAAAAAAAAAAAAGAAGTGTGTGATTTCTTTCTATCTCTGGGAAAAACAAATGTAGATGAGTCTCAGCCCCATCTTGGAACTACCATCTCCTCCTCACCCTAAACTGCCTAATCCCAACTCTCCTGTCTCTTCCTCTCAGGCTTCTCACCATGAATTTTCCATCTCTCTGCCCTCCTCCTGTGATCTGGCCACAAAATATTTAGCACGGGAAAACAAAGAGATACACGATCTGTTTTTCCACCATCTCTAATGGCAGAAAACGAGGATAGAACCTGCCCTGCTTAGCCATGTTAGAAATCTAATGAGGTTCCTGCAACTACGTCTTTTCCACATACTCTGTTTGTGATTCCAAAGGCCACTTCCTTTGAATAAGTCGCTGCTGTTTTGTAAAGCAAGTGTATATGACGCAGGCACTCCTCATGCTTCCTCAGGGTGCAATTACTTTCTTATCTGTCATGTACTGCTGTTTCTCCTCAGCTGAATTAAGTTGTCCAGCATGAGACTGTAGGGTTAATCTTCAAGCAGGAAAGCCTAAAAGGGCTGGAGGGAACCATGGCAGTCCGAGAGCAAAGAGCAAGGCGATGACATCTTGGCAGGCAGAGACCTGAAGCGTAAGGAGAATTCCTGAAATGAGACCATCACATTTCCCATCAGTGCTGACTCATAAAATGGCAGGTTCATTAAAGATGAAATACACAAAAACTACTGTGTGAGCTGTTTCATATTATGTGATTGGCTTTCCCCTGCATCTTGACTTCCCTGAGCCAAGAGTATCAAAGTAATTTGATTTTAAAATGTGTCATCTCGTTAACAAAAATGTAGTTGAAGGCTCCATCTTATTTATTGTCCAAATTACTGTAGTTCTTCGAGGCCTGGCCTGCAGCTCTGCTTAGTTAGAGACCATCTATTTGAAACTCAGGAGGTAAGTCTTAGAATCATCAAGGTTAGAAAAGACCACTAAGACCATCTAGTGCAACCGTCCACCTCCCATCAGTATTGCCCACTAACCACGTCCCTCAGTGCCACATCTGCATGGCTCTTGAACACTTCCAGGAATAACTCCACCACCTCCCTGGGCAGCCTGTGCCAGTGCCCACCCACTCCTTCAGAGAAGTTTTTCTTAATATCCCACCAGAAATCTCTGCTGTTTCCTGCCTCAGACACTGCCACACCACAGGAGACTTTCCAAAGGGCTGAGAAGAGCTCAGCATGAGTCCCCCAACTTCCCCACTCTCTTGGCTTCCTTCAATACACCCCTGCAAAATCTCCTCTCCAGCCAAGAGCCCTGGAGAAATCCAGCAGAAATGGAGCTCCAAGCCAAGATCGCTTACACTACACTCCAGCCACTCAGTGTCACTGCTGTGCCACAACCACACATCACCCTTTCTGCTGCTTTTATAGCAGGCGTACCACTGTGTTTTGTATCCAGTGACTCTCCTCCTCCAGGTACAGCTCTGTACAGCAGCGTCAGCTGCAGCGATCCTGATGTCCCACGTTTATCCTGTCCCTTCTGACAGCCTCCACAGCATATTCCCTCAATTTTCAAAGCCTGTTTTCCAGTTGCTTTGAATTCCATTTGTGCTTAGAGATACGCCTCACTCCTCAAGCTCCGTGCACCCTCACCAATGAGGTTTTTAAAGCAAGGCCATAGCTGGAAGTTGTCACTGATACACGATGCAGAACAAAATCCAGCTCGCTCAAATGGAGCTAGATTGGCTCAGTGGGGCTGACAATAGATGAGCGGGGTCTTATCAGCCTATGGAGCAGATACAATGCAGGTGCAGTGTGCAGGGAGCAGATAGCAGCTCTGCAAAGGGGCCAGCCTGGCTGGTGATAGTGTGGGCTTCTCTTATTTTCCTCACCAGTTTTGACACTGTTGTTTTAAAGCCAGCACCTTTCTGACCACGGCCACTGCACTAGCAGTGAAAAGAAATAAAAGTGACTGACGGCCCAATAGAGGAGGGCTGCGATGAAATGTCTCAGCAGGGCACATTTGTACCCATGGGGCACTGCTGCTCCAGGCAGTTTATTCCTTGCTCCAAATGCATTTGCTGGATTTAATGACAAGTTTCTTGTCACTTCTGCAATCAGTCCTATCAAAGAGAGGTGATTTTGCATGGAGCAGGTCCTGTATTTTTTATCCTTTGTTTTGCTATTTTGTTGTTGTTGTTGTTGTTGAGGGGCTGCCAGCTGTCTCCCAAAACAGGTCACTATGGTTCATGGCAGTAACCAAGGTCATTAGCCAGATGTCTTCTCCCAACATTTGTAACTAGCAAAGCTAAAAAGTATAACCTCGGATTGTTCTATACAAGAAATCTCCAAACTGTAAATATGCAACAGTAAGAGAAAGTATTTATTTGCCAGTGGAACATTTTAATGAGTGGATGGCTCAGCAAATCTTGTAGACAGCTGCTTTCCCTTCTGCAGATACTGAGATTTATAGTAGAAAGGGAGGGGGGAAATAAGTAGCCAGGGGAGTGTATTGGTGAGGGGATAAATCAGGTACGCTTGGGTCTCATCTCATCCTCTGGTTTGGCTGGTCTGACAGTTCTGCAGCTCTCCTTTCTTTCAACCAACCATTAATGATCCCATTCAATGGGAGCCTGTGGCCAAGAACAGACATATCACCCACTGACAATGATCACCCATTGGTTAGAACATTACGGAGCAATCTATCCTGGGCAGACTGATCTAATGGGTGGTAACCCTGCCCATGGCAGAGGTGCTGGAACTAGATGGTCTTCGAGGTACCTTCCAACACTAGCCATTCTGATTCTATGATTCTACATTCATACAAAGAGTAGCTTTTAAATATCAAGTGCTCATGGAATATTGATGGAGAGGCAGGAGCCTAAGAAAGTCAAAACAGTGATGTATTTTTGCAGTTCTGAGGAGATTTTTCATACTTGTTTCCAACAAATAGGTTTTTAAGCCTTTTACGCTCCTAACCAATTACATGATCATAGGATCATTGAATTATATAGAATCACAGAATGGCTTGGGTTGGAAGGGACCTCAAAGATCATCCTGTTCCAACCCTCCTGCTTTGGGGGTTGGATATTTCTGATAGTATTTCTGATGAATACTATTCCCAAAACCCAAATCACTGAGATTTATGAAATATGTACCGAGAGGAACGGAATCCAGAAGAAAAAAAAAACCTGTCCTGATGCTTGTAGACTAGAGGCAGAGCAATAAGCCCAACATGCATTTTACAGAAGACCCCTCCTAGTGATCATAACTTCCAACAGCACAATGCTTCTGTAAAACACAGTCCTAAGAAAAGCTATTAATAGCAAAAAAAAAAAAAACCAAAACCACCAAATCAAAACAAACAAACAAAAGAAAACCAAATAAAAAAAAACAAACACGACAGTACAACCACCAAAAGAACTTACAGCATATTCTCAAGTGATTAACAAGCTCTCTGAGCTGCTCCTTGAATCAATCTTTCTGACAATGAAATTTTCACTTCCCTTGGACCTTTACTCCTAGCAGGAGGAGGGAGCTCACATCCTGACTTGCCAATTGGCAGCAATGTATTCAGCTGGGGAATCTGCTGTATCAGTGACAGTGTAGACTAACTCTTGTCCTGACACTGCATTATATTTTGAGGTGAAGCAATTTAAATCAAGAATAGTCATCTTCCAACTTTGAAAAACACAGAAATAACCCTAAAAGGTGTTGCTGTTCTCTCACCTAGGTATTGCAAACAGTCTGTTAGATGCTGGAATAAAAGCTATTCTTACATAGTCTCCAGAAGCACTTTCAGGTTGTTTGCTAAGACTCAGAAGAGAGACCAGTTGGACACAGGGAATCAAAGAATGCGCCTGCAGGAATGTAAAGGTCTTGCTGTCGAGGTCATACAGATGAAAACATCAACAGAATACATAAGACACTTTGCACTTTCCTTATTTATCCAAAAAGCTATTTTTGTTTATTAAAACCTATTTACTAGCTGCATCTTGCCAATAACCTGGAGTGCTTGCTTGGTTAATTTAAGCAAGCAGAGCTTTGACGAAGTAATTTTACCATCCTCGGGGATCTGCCAGCTTATGCTGGTCTTCACTATTTCAGATGAAATTGAGTTAATTTTCGCTGAAATTGCTTCTTAGCAGACAAACACATTCCCCATCATTGCAAGCTTATGCCTCTGCAGCTCTATTATTCTTTAATTTACACACCCCGGCAGCGAGGGATTAATGCCTGAGACATACAAAAGGCTACAGTGTGGAGAGGAGAAGTGGAGGAGAGAGAAAGAAAGAGTGGAGCTCTGTGGGGAATAGGTAATGGTGTTTCAGTTGTATAGTCAAAACATTTAAAGTTTGGCATTAATATGGAGTCAGCTCTTGTCCTTTCACTCTGAAAATCCATCATCTAAAATCTCAAGGCAGAAAACATCCCAGCTATTCTGACCATGGCAATCCCTGCAGGATTACCAGCCGGGAGGACAATCACTGGGGTATTGTAGTTTCCTCCATCACAGGCTGATTGCTGGAAGTGAAGGTGGAGCAGAAGCACACAGGAAAGTTGCATTTCACCTCTGTGCCTTCCACTTCAACCAGGAGTTCTGGGAAGGTGCTGCTGCCAAGGCCCTGGGGGTTCCTTCAGATGTTCTAAAACTAAAATACTGCATTCTTGAAAGCATACAGACAGAAATATGAATAGTGCCAAAGCATCTGCAAAATGGGAAAAAAGGATTACCCTGTTTTGTTTTTTCTTTCTAACAGAAGTGCCAAATTCAGCTGTCTCTGTGAATTTTCTAGTAAGATTTTAAGATAGCAGAATTTTAAAGCAGTCCTTGCTGATGACTGAGATGAACAGCAACTACGTTTTTTTTTTAGATTATTGCTTCAGTTTTCCTTCCTCAGTCGAACAGCTAACAGTTTCCTCTCTTTTTGTAAATAGCTCTGAGTTACACATGGGTAATTGGATAAAATACAGCAATCCCACATCATGTGCTGCTATACACGTAGCAATGCTGTAACTGAACATTTAAATTCCTTGTCTTCCTTTGAAGGCCCACCCTTCCTTCCACTTCCCTGGCCACCAGTGTTGCATCAATGCAGCAGTACATACCAAGATCCAGCACATTCCAGCATCCTTCTTCCACACAAACACATCCATGCTTTCTCCTTGCTACCTTCTGCACATGAGAAGCTCTCTACCAGCCCAATTTATTATTCCACCTACAAATCTTTTCTTGTTTTCTCCTTCAATATGATGCCAACTAAATCTGGACATGACAGCTGATATGTTGGACCACCATATCTCTCACATGCTTTCGGACTTTTTATTAGCTGACAAGCCCTTTGCAGGCCAGAGCTTGTTCTTGAGCACCCTGTCATCTCAAGTGCATGACTTGATATCTACAAAATTAGCAACAAAAGAAGAAAGCTCTAGAGATAATTTTCCCTCCTGAGGACTGTCCTCCACAGAATCATAGGGTATTCCAAGTTGGAAGGAACCGATTTAGACCATTGAACCCAAATTCCAACTCCACACAGGACCACACAAAGTTCAGATCATACGTCTGAGAGCATTATCCAGATGCTTCTTGAGCTCCATCAAACTCTGTGCCATGATCACTTCCCTGGGGAGCCGGTTCTAGTGCCTAACTGCCCGTCCTTGGTTGCTGTAGAAGGGACAGAATGGGGAAGAAGGTCCTCAGTAGAATTCATGTTGATGAAAACTGAGGATACTCTACTTCCCTCCAGAACTGACCTTACCTTCTTACTGGGCTAGCATCAGCTCGAGAGTGGAACATCTCAGCATCTGGGCAAGTCATTACTGAACTCAGGAGTAGGTCAGGGTGAGAAAACAGGTATTACTGTATTGCATTAAAGAGAAGAACCTTTGTGGATGGAGAAGGGCCAAATTTGAAATCAAAAGAAATCTCCTTTCTATTCACAGAAGAGTGAAGAGAGGAGAAAACAGAAGAAACGCACCAAAAAAAAAAAAAAAAGGTTCAACCAAAGTGAGTAACAAATACCAAAAAGTGTAGGGCTTGTATTTGGGCTATGAGTCTTATCCTCTGGTAGAAATTCCCTGCCTCTTGCAAAGAGCTGAGCATCAGCCTAAAAAGATGTATTAAACTATCTTAAAAGATGTATTAAGCCAGTAGAACAGGGTAGCACAAGCAGCGTGCCAAGAACTGGGTGCAATCGGTGGCTCAAGCAGGTGAACGTTGTCCTCCTTCTACCCTCCAAGAACAACAACTGCCATTTTCTCAGCAAAGTTATTTCACAAACCGGCTCCTTTCAGCTCAGCTGACTTTTAGCCTCATGCATTTTTATACACTCTCTGCAAGAATGAGAAGGATATTTACATTTTTTAATAAGCCTGACAGTTTGAAAGTAATTGGGGATTTATAATGGGTTTGTTTAGGTCTTTTTGTCCACTTGAATTCCAACTACTAGTCTTTGGTCTAACAAGCAATATTATCTCTATGGTGATGAAGAAACCTCAACAGGAGGCCCTGAAGCCAAAGAGGAAAGAACTGGTGTGTTTTGTTTCGTTATGTTATTTATTTTCCTTTGAACCTGCATTTTCAAGTGAAAGCAATATGACAAAATTTAAAGCAAGAGCAAAATTCCTCCAGCCATCCAGTGCTCATATTCTGACTTCTTCCTCTGGTTTGCCTAGGAGCATGTAAACCATCTGATCTCTAGTAAGGTGATTTTCCTTCCTTGAAAAGATTTGCATTTCTTTGTTCAGTGGTGATTCCAAAATGATTTTAACCTTGATTTTCTTCCTGGGGGAAGCAGATGTCTAGTGATAAGGGAGGAATTAACTTGCAAAACTCGAGGTCTGGGATCAGATTCCTGCAACCAAATCTCAAGGACTCAGTTCTGCTTACCCCTATGTGAAAATATGGCTGTAGGTTGGAAGAGAGAAAGGGAAAGCTGGGAAGGGCATTGATCCAGCTATGATAGTGGGATTTTAGTGAGGGCTTCTATCTAAAACAGAAATTCTCAGAGGTCTCTTTGGATTTCCTGACGATGCTGAGGATCACTACTGAGAATGCAGTGCTGACTGGTTACAGGCTCTTCTCCATAACGCATTTAAGGGGTTGCTGACACACTACAGTTGATGTGATATGCTCTGACTCCAAGTTTCTGATTGTATCCTTGCTTCTTTATTCCTCGGCTACCCAACTTTTTAAGAAAAGAAACAACATTCCCTCTGTTCTGTCTGAGCAAGGATATAAACGCAATGGAGATCAGCAGGACATAGAGCTAAAATGAAGGCAGGAAATGCCTACCAATAACCACCAAAAATTAATAATAATGAAAAAAAGAGCAGGACTAGCACTGCAACCCCTGATCAGCAGACTTTTGCAATTCAGTTCATTTCAGCAGAGGCAAGTACTGAGGAGGGGTGCTCTAGGACATACCTGACTTTATTCAGGGCAGAGCCTTTTGGTTCACGTCTTCTCCTCCCTGTGCCTCCGCCCTCCATGGCATACAGCTCACACCACACACTGCTTCCCACTGCCCACGTTACTATTCTTGGAGTAAGCAGAGCTGTAGAAAAAACGACCCTCATAAGCAAAGCAAAGCAGAGTGAAGTTGTTGCCATTTGTCTATCCCATTGCTTGCTCTTGACTGTGCACTTAAGGTTGAACCCTGTGCAAAACACACAACCAAGAAATAGCTTTGTCCACTGAGTCTCAGGCATGGGGCTATACAGCCTTATTTCCTTTCCCTATGGAGCAGAGAGGGACAAAAGGGACAACATACTTTTCTGGCGTTTCCTAGCTTCCAGGAAGAGCTCCTCCAGCCCAGAGCTGTAGGAGCCTTTCCTCACCACGGCACCTGTGATGATACTGCATCTCCCAGCACATGCATCATTTGTACTCAGTGATGTGCAGCACCCTATGCGCCTGCACTCCCATGGCCTGTGCACCTCTGGTTTCAGCCCTGGGTTGAGTCTTGTGCAGAACATGAGCATCTCTGATGTGCAAGGGCAGGAGCAGAGGACAAAGTCACTTTCCTCTGAAGCACAGGCTGCTGCCAGAGATCAGGAGTAGATGGGGTCAGGAGGGGCCATGGATTTGAAAGCGCTTTGTGGATTGCTCTGAAAAACAGTGCAGGAGAAAAGAACCTGAGTGAAAGGGGCAATACAGAGGGCAGCAGGCAGGAGGGGGCTGCAGGGAAAGAGGCACAACAAGGGCTGTGCTTACCTGCATGGTTCTGCCCCTACACGTAGTGGCAGGGGATGGGGAGCTGTGGCTGGGGACACACATGCAGGAAGGGATTGAGGAAGAGGAAAAGACAGGGAGAGAGAGAAAGAACTATGGAATGGGAGCAGGAGAAAGGCAGCAGGAGGGAAAGGAGAAAGTGGGAAATGAATTGAAATGAGTTAGAAAATTCCAGGCAGACGAGCTTGAGCATTCAGCAGCTGAGATGTGGAGCTTCATTAGTACAGACCAACGAAGATAGAGACATTAAGGAAGGAAATGTGTGACTCACAGGGGAAAATGGGAAAAACAACACACACCATAGCAGCTGCTCCGTTTACTTCAATTAAAGAACAGCTCAAAGGGTATGTTAAGGGGAAAGGAGGGGGAAGCAAACAAAGGCACAAGCAACAACAAAAAGACAACCAGATAAAGCAATTGTTACCCTCCAGCTCCTAAATGAACTGACTCAGGCGTGTGAACACAGAGAGAGCCTTCCTCACCCTGTGCCTCCAAATGGCACACTGCAGTGAACTCCAGGGCAGTGGGGGAAGCTGCCAGAGCTTCTCTGTCTTCTCAGTGCCACTCCACAGCAACCCCAGCCCTATTACCCCAGACTTTGCAACCAGCATCAGCAGGATCCAGGCAGCCTCTTGTGGTCACTGTCACAGCTGGTCAAAATGCAGGCACTTTCCTGACCTCCTCCTGTGTTGTATGGAAGCCAACAAACTCACTGAGATTGGCTTGGACAGCTTTTCCAGAAAAGAAAACTGACATTAATTCCGGCCAGAGACCTTAGTTATTTAATCTGTGGGACACACTGGAAGGAACAGCCCCATACTGGGCAAAAGGGAGTCAAGATGATCCCTGCTCCTCTCCCTCCCCACACTGTCAACACTAATTTGTCAGAGCTCATCAGCACTGAGAATGATTCTAGCCAAAATGTGATGGATTTCAGTGAACCCTATTTTCAGTTTTCAGCTGGTAAATGCTGGAGGGGAAGAACCAAGTAGGCCTGGAAAAGAAAAGCAAGAAGGAAGGAATTCCCAGGAAGGAATGGAGCAGAAGAAACGGAGCAGAAGAAACCTCCAATTCCAACTCATTGCAGATTTCAACAGGACAAAAAAAAAAAAAAAAGTGTTAAGAGTTTATGAGGAAAGAAAGTTTTCTGCTGAGCACCCACTGGCTGCCCTACGTCTCAGTTCCCTCTCATAAGAGGTTTATCACATTGCTCCAGCTGTGACACTGGTCTGCAAGGGTTAGTTGCTTTGCTCGGTTGACTGAAGTCTCAAATCTGGAGGCCACTGGGTCAGTCCAAATTCATGGCCTTCCCAGGTGACCAGCGTAGACAACTTCACGATGTCAGAAGAGGTCTGCTTTCATTTTCAGTAGGGGAAAATCTTTGTTCAGATTTTATCCTTCTTTCCTTATCTTTGTGGAGGCTTCCTGATTCCTGGATACTGCGAATCCATAACCCTTGGCTGACTTGTTCCTTATACAAGCACAGCAGTGGATTTCATGACAAAGTCCCATGGTCTCAGGATAATTACCTGCCCAAAGTTTCAGATGGAATGCCCAGATACAAGCAAACTCCCAAACTCCTGACATTTATCACTCTAAAGAGCAGCCAGCAAAGAAGCGGCCCCTATCAGATAAGCAGCGTCAGTCAAGATTTCAATGTAGTCGGCTGTGACTTGAAAAGGACACATCACAGTGTATGTGCAGAACGAAGCATGGCAAATGTTAAATCTCTACAGTGCTGGAATCAGCACAATGGATCCCATCTCCATACGTGATAATGGGAACTCATAATTCTCTTACGCGAACTTTAATGCCAAAAAGTTGCTGCAGGGAGTCACTGAGGACATGAAGCCTTTTTCTTCAAAGCTTCTGAGATAGGCAGCATTAAACACATTCATTTTGAGCTGGCTGTGCGTTAAGCTTCCACTCTGTCCCTTCATCTCTTCCCAATCAAGCTGTGTCTCAGTCAGCACCCAGTTGTTAATTCTGGATGGATTAAAGAGCATGAGAAAGCGCTTTTTTTTCTTTTTTTTTGAGGGGGGGAAATCATGTTTATCCATCACTCATCTGGGTGAGTGTTAAACTTTAGATCTTCTGCCTCTCTAATGATCATTGCATTGCAGTGTATTCAGAGCCTTTGCTTTGCACAGTAGTGGGGATTTTTGATCTAAAGGCTTCTTTTTACCCAAGATTAAACCTGAATTTGGATCACCCTTTAGAGTCTAATTGTGTAGGATTTTGGTGTTACTGCTGCACGGCCACAGAGTGTATTTATGGGAAGAAGAGGACAGGAATTCCCCTAGTATCTGACAGAGCTCAGGAAATTTAGGTAATATTTTATGTAGAGGAGAAAATGAAATCCAAAGACAGCAAAAACACTTTTCCTTACTCAGTGTTCAAGATGACAAAAGAAGGAGGATATTCTTTTTAATCAAATCCCTAGAATTCATGCCAGCTACCAACTAATGACAACTGAAAAGAAGCGTTGACCAGTTTCAGACCCTCTCAATGGAGATGTGGGTGGACAGGGATCAGACTGACAGTAAGTTCTTCAAAACTGTGAAGTTTTGACACTGTGTTAGGCATAATTACGCCTGTCAAAGCCGATATACTGCTGGAAATTTTCTTTTGCAGAAATAATGGTAGAAGAAGTTGTGCAAAACTCTCCACATTGTTTCTGGATGCCTCAAAGCCTTTTTGGCAGGCAGGTGGTATCTAGGTTGGCAGTGAAGCTCTGAATCACTACAGGACTGAACAATTTGAAGCACCTTCTTTTCTTGATTCAAAAAAGTCTGCTCTTTGCATTTTGAAATTGTCACCACTTGAAGAGGCATTCGCAATATCAGTTGTACAAAGACCCCAGAAAAGGGCAAAAACATCAGCATAGTAAGGAAACACATGATGACACTGTGCTGATTGGTAACATTAACACCTGGTTCAGCCCTTCAAGAAAATTCAAGAAAAAAGGGATATGTTTCCCTCTTCTCCAAAAATGTATCCTCTTGTGAAATCCAAGCACAGCACTAATGGTAACCAAGGCATACACACAAAAGCACTCCCCAGCCCAATTTCTTGCCAGCCGTACAAAAATCATAGAATCACAGAAGCATTAAGGTTGGAAAAAATTCCAAGATAATTCAGTCAAACTGTCAACCCACCTCCACCATGCTCACCATCCACCACATCCCTCAGTGTCACATTCACATGGTTCTTCAAAACCTCCAAGGATGGTGACACCACCACCTCACTGGGCAGCCTGTGCCAGTGCCTTACCACTCTTACAGAGAATAAATGTTTCCTAATTATCCAACTTGAACACCCCCTGGGGCAACTTAAATCCATTACCTCTCCTCCTATCGCTGTTACCTGAGAAAAGAGTCCAACCTCTAGCCCTCCACAACTTCCTTTTAGACAGCTGTAGAAAGCAGCAAGGTCTCTCCTGAGCATCCTCTTCTCCAGACTGAACCACCCCAGTTCACTCAGCCAGTACCCTTAAGACTTGTGCTCTGCTCCAGACCCCTCACAGCTTCATTGCCCTTCCTCGGACACACACAAAAAATACAGAATGCTTAACGAATGTACATGTCCTCCTTGCACAGATGATGTAAAAAGTTCCACTCAGAAGAGCAGTTTTCCCACACAATCAAGAAAGCTCAGCCAGACAAAGGCAAGGTAGAAAGTAGGGCAGTTTCTCCTCAGCTCTTAGCACATTCCATACTAGATCCCAGTGCTCACCTTGCCCCTGTGGATCTGGAAAACTCTCATAGCAATCCTAGACTATGCTGAGTACATAATAACAAGAGCCAGAGCTAACACACTGATGTATATGAGCATTACATCAGAGCCACTGACATTGCTGCAGATGAGGCTCATTTTCCTGCCCAGCAGCACTTCCTCCATTGCCACAGCGCCACACGTTTCCATCTACAGAAGCCCTCGGGAGCAGGAAGGTCAGGGCTCAGTGCATAAGGACAAAATCCTGATCCGGATGAGATGAAATTAATAGAGAAGGGATAGAGCGTGCATAACACTGTGAGCCTCTTAGATAAAAGCTCATTGTCTTCACTGAGAGCTGTGTTTGAATAAGAACAGGGAAGTTAAGGGTTTGGCAGGCTGTATGTAAAACATTGCAGAACGGCTGCTATGTGCATGCAGCTAGTTTCCATGCATAATATATATAGGAGTGTGCCATATGTTTAAAGCATCAGGCAATCGGGCCAATCTTGGATCATATTATCAAGCTTTCCTATGGTGTTGCATTTGTTCTAAACAGATGCATTTCTACCCTCCCTCCCCGCTCCCCCCTCAACCTGCCAACACTCATTTATGAGGAAACCAGGTGTCCTTCTTTAAAAAAGAAATAAATCCTTATCCAAAGGAATCTGTCCAGGAAGAAAGTAAATGCCCATCTCTGCTATTTTTATTTCAATCAGGAAATATGTTACCAAACAAACTACCAAACGGACAAACAAGAATCAAAACAAGAAAAAGAGAGACATGGAAATTCATAGGAATTAGGTTCTGAATTGTGCAAAGCCAAATGCTAATTGCACCAGTCCTCAAACGTACAGAACAGATGAATTCAAGAACAGAAAGAGCTCCAATGATAGCAGATCTGCTCTGGATGAAACATGTCCTGCATTGATTATGAGAAGGGCTGGATGCTCTTGTCTTTAAAGTGTACAGTTTGATTTTATATTAATTCATCAGCAGCATCACAGATCTCAGGGGCTCATCTCCGCTCATTATAGGTGCTTTGCATATGTGGCTGGAAAAGAACCACCGCTGATTTGTCTCGTTGCTGCTCTCTGCTGTTGCTGTGTTACCCTGCAGACCCCTCCCCACGTCAGGAGTGATGCTGGGTGCTGGCCAAGTCCCTGCAGGTGCTGAGTGCCCCAGCAAAGCAATGCAGCCCAGGAAGGGAACCCAGCATCTCCCAGTGAAGGTTCGACTGAGCAAGAATGCAAAGGAAGCCCAAGTCCAACCAGCTTTGTGCACATTACCCTCTCACGAGCAAGAGTAGCTCTGTCCTGTTTTGCATTGTTTCGAGAGACCTGGCCCTTGAGGGCACAGCAAAACCACCTGGTGGGCAGCAGCCAGCAGAATCAGCAGCAGAACAGCTGGGAGACGCTCACAGCTGGCTCCCTATCTCTTACATGGAGTTTTTTCCACTCTTGTGAGCTCTTAAGGCCATGTTTTATATCCTAATTAAACTGAAAGAAAAGGAATTGGATAACAGTCTAAAAGATTTGCAAGCTACATCTATTTCAGAAAATGACTCATGTTCCCACTAGTGTAGCTCATCAGGTCCAGCACATGCTCTAATGTGTGGGACTAATAGATTTGTAACAGTGATATCTAATATGAGTCTGTTCCGGTTACATACTTATCATGGGTCCTCGCAGGCTTTCCATCAAAGCTGCTGAATGAAAGCATTTTTTCATTAAAGAAAAAGGAAGAGAAAAAAAAAAAAAAAAAAAAAAGAAATCTCTTTGGCCATAAATCTCTCAGCACATTAGTCCCCAAAACAATTCAGTGAGCCAAGGTCACATTTCCCCTACATTCATTTAGATCCTTGGGAAGTTCAATGAGATGAGAAGACAAGACAAAACACAAGAGGCTCTGTCTTCAGCTGCTATGAATCAGCGTTGCTTCCCATCAGCTGAGAATCCAACCACATATCTAGAGACAGCTATAGGAAATATATAACAATTTCTTTGGGTCAGGTAATGATGATCCATATGGCATTTTATTACTTGAGAAGGACGGGAGCGACTGCAAGGACAAATGGCATTTGGCAGGGGAAAGCGGGGCGTTCAGCCCCATGGGCAAAGTCCCCTTGCTCTCAGTGGGCTCCCATTCATCTCACGGTTTTGGAGGTCACCACAATTAAGCATGGGGGAAATATTTTGTAGCTTAGTTTTGTCTGCAGCGTTTCAGTGGGACAGATCCCGATGCCCATCTTTGGAGGGAACAGGGCATGACAACTCGAGACACAAAGCAACAATCTTAAGTGAAACACAGCCATTATAAGGCAGCTCTGCCTCTCAGTTATCCCCCATCCGCTGATCCACACAGCAGTGAAAGCTGCCAGCTCTGAGCCCTGTACCGTGTGCTGTCCCTTTGATACTGCAGCTCTCTCCTTCATGTTTACACCCTTCAGATATTTTTAGGCTTTTTTCAGCGCACAGAAGTACGCGTTGTCATCTCCTAGCCTCGTTTAGCCGTCTGAGGCTTCCCACAGAAATCAGTTTTTCCAAACATCTGATCATTTAGCCATCAGAAGGCAGAAAGGGTGGTCTGGTCACTCTCCTTTTAGCTTCCTCCCAGGTCTCATTAGCTGGTTGCCTGTTGGTGGCTGGGAACAAGCACATGGTTTGTTCTGTGGATGAATTCAAACCACGTAGGAAAGGACTGTTCCCTTCCCGTGGAATATTTTGCCTCCATGGAGGCAGATGACGTTATTTGCAGTAATATACTATTTCAGACCGATCTCCAATTTGTTATCTACTGACACCTCAAGGGCCCTTCATCCACCTCACCTGGAACCGGTGGAAAATAACTTGTCAAAATAGTTAATTTCTGATATAGTTGGAGGGAAAGGGTGTTCCCCGAAAGCACAACGTTTATGGTTTAGGATGACTTATTTTGGGTGGAGGAAGCTTGATTTTTTAAAATTGTTTTTACAACCGACATCGATTTTCTCCTCAGGGAAATAAGGTTTTAATCTGCTTCACCTTGAAACCTTCCAAATCTCTTATTTTTACAGGCTCTCTTAACTATTTTGGATAGCATCCCTGCACATACAACTATTTGGCAGGTTAACACCAAGCAAATATCAAATGACAGTAACTGATTTGTGGAAATGGTCTGGTCCAACTAGACAGACAGCTAAGCACCAGGAAGTGTTCTGTTAAATAATTATGCCCATAAAATTTCATTTTCCATAGCGGTCATGTTGTCCAAATCAGCTCCATGGTCCTTCCTTAAAAATCTGTCAGAACATACTTTTATCATGAAAACAAGCCACCCCAGAACATGAAATACAGATGCATCCAATCTATTATCCTGGAAAGGAAAAGCTATTGGGGCCAAATCCAGTAAGACACCACGTTTGTATCTTAATTCCTGGAAACATTTGGCTTTCACTTTGAGCCAGCAGTTCCTAGTCACTTCTCCCAGTCCCACCCATGCAATGAACTCCAAGATTTGGCAGGTAAGTGTCAGTTGTTGACATGGGGTTAAGAAGTAGGGCAGTTGGGAGCAGCATGACAATTACCTGAGGTATGACAAGGTCTCCCACCTTCACCCACCTGCGACCCCAATGCTTCCCAACACAAAGAGCAGCTCCCAGGGCAGCAAATCTCACAGCCAGGACCTGACCATGGGTCTTCATTGGTACTCACCCATCTCTGCACATGACAGCTCCTGCCACTGTGAATTGCAGTCCTGTCTCTTTATGGGCTCCGTGGGTTACAGGGGGTGGTGGGTAACCATAGTAACCATGTTGTAAAACAGCATGGGAGTTGACGTGTAATAAAGCACTACACCTGAACAGAGCCCTTCAGGAGGGGTAATTGTGGATGCGCTTGTAACAGGTTGGAGCAGTGCTGTCTAGTGCAGAAAGTCATCCTGTCTGGAGAATAGGGCTTGGCACGGAAAGGCAGCTACCACTCTTTAATGCAACTTAAGGTCCTTAACTTAAGGCTCAGATACTTGTTTTCTGCTCTGCGGCTACATTCACCCCATTCCTTTCCCAGCAAACCTAGCCAGGATTTTCTGATGGAAATCCTGGCTCTTCCTGGCTTACTGCAAAGGTAAGTTCATGGATAGAAGACACCATTCTGATTACACAGAAGTACTGAAGTACCATATATCCTAGGAAATGGTGTTCAGTAACTTACAGTAATCCTCAGAAGAAGGTCTACAGATCAGTATCATCAAAATATCAACTTACTTTCTTTCAAATAGAAATTGAATGCCAAAAGTGTTCAAACAGACGTGCTAGACCATGGAGTCAGTCAGTGTTAACACCTGAATTTCTTTCAAGGAATTCCCAGGAATCTTACTACGCTATGGGGACTGTAAAAAACACAATTACAAAACCTATGGCTTCAGACTGAGAGGAGGAGCAGACGCTCTTCCTCCACCTTCATTATTCATCTGTATTGGGGACAGTCACCATCTGGACCTGAGATTTCAGCCAGCATTACTCCTTCTCTTGCCATCTACATTTCCAGCAACAGAAAACAGTGATGCAAATGCAGCATGGTCCTTATTGACACTATTTTCTGTCTGTGACTTCTCCTACACATGGTACATGATAATATATCATGTACAAAGCACATTGATCAATTCTATCCAAGCAGTGTCTTAGTCTTCAGAGCCAACAAACCAACACTTAAAGTTTCCTTACTCAGCTTGTTTCACTGCAACACAAAACTTATTTTGCGTCCCAGATAGGTCATTTAACCCCCTGTGCAAGGTGACTGTCAAAAAGATACTCATGCAGGCAACATAAAATCCTGCCACTCAATGTTCTCAAAGGGAGATCTCCATCAGTTCAACTTTCCCCCTGTAGCTTTCCTAATAATTAATGGGAAACAATCCTCTGGGAAAATTGTCACCAGGTAATTAATAAAAAATGAAAATGAGAGAGCAAGAAGGAGGAACAGAGATGTCGCAGAAAGCCTGCAAATTGTAACAGTCGGACTTAGAGTTGTGATTTCCTTCCCAGTCTCAGAGGGACAGTAGTGCTTGTTCCCACGTTCATCAGCACTCACTCAGAACTCAGCTTCTCCCATTCACACTTTCGAAACAAGAGACATTGTGATGGAAATGTTTACACCTTGCCACACATCTCAATGGCCTTTCACAGACAGACTTGCTTGCAGAGATAGGGGAATTGTTGTCAAGGACAGATCTCAAATATCCTGTGTGGTTCTATTACCAGGTGACTATTTAAAAATAGAGGTTGCTGTTTGTTTTTTACCTGTGGGTTCAAGTTGTTCAGTTTGATAGGAGAGGTTCATTAGAACCCAAAAGAAAATGTCTTATCTGTACCTAAACCTCATAGAGAAGTCCTTTGGCATCAATAACTCTGAAATGCCTCCCCATGAGTGAATGCTCTTCCGCACACTCAGGCAAATTTGTCTCACTTCAAAAATAAATAAATAAACAAACAAACAAAAAGCAACAAAAAACTCTCACCTTTCAAGGTTGAAATTGATGTACACTTGGGAAACAGAGTTGAGAAACCATCACCAGGAATGCCCAGGCTCTACCTGCACTTTGCCCACTCAAGTGCCGGAACTATTGCATGTCCTAAGAGAAAAGAGAATAGATGGATGGTCTTATGATTAAGCCAGAAGACAGGGATTTGAGAATCTAGTGTCACTTCTAGACCTCCTGTGTTGACTTTGGGCAAGTCAATTAACCTCTCTGTGCCTCTGCTTGACATCTGTAAAATGGAGATAAGAGATTTCCCTAAAGCACAGCAGCGTTTGTGTGTTTGACAGATGCTCTCACCTGATGCCAACAGGAGTCGTGAGATTTTACTGACAGGAGAGTGATGGAGTGGAGAAGACCTGCTGCCATTTGGGGTTATGTAGCTTTGTAAAAACTGACTAGGTATCTGTTCAGCTTTCCTCACCACCTCATTTACACCTGTCTGTCTTCCGAGGTACATCCACTCTCTCAACCACGCTGTAGCTCCAATGACAGATTTAGGAACCCACAAAGCCCATAGGATGCTTCCCATCCTTCCACAAGAAAGGAGGTCAATTTGGATTTTTACCACTAAAATAAAGTCATGTGAATCACAGAAAAGAAGAAATGGAAAGCCTAGTTTCACCTTCCCCCTAAGAATGAGGATGCACCGGAGGCCAAAGGCTCTGATGCTTTGGGTCCCACTGCCCTCACACCCACAGAACATGCAGATAAATCCTCATTTTCCATGCAAGAGTCATCATGGCTGACCTGACACATTTATATCACCCACCACATTGCAGAACTTCACTGTTCACTCCAAACTCTTTACAGCCCTGGAAAGAAAGGAACATAATTTGCCTTTACTTTTTTTTTGCTGTTTATTTTATTTTTTTTAATATCATTTTAAAAAATGCATTCCTTTGCATTCACAAGGAATGCTATAGTTCCCCTACAAGCTTCACAAGGCAAGTTAAAGCATGAAACTCTCCTAGAGCCCACCTGACTCTTTTCTGCAAGGCTTAGAAGGAGGATTTCTTTCTCTCTCCATTTTTTTTTTAATATAAAATCCCATAGCGTTATTAAAAGGAATTGTTCAATTCCTTTAATTGGCTCAGAAGATAAATTCTTCCCTCAGCCTGGGGGTCATGGCCATCAGCAGCTATTTATTAGCTGCACTGATTGAGAAGAACAGCCTTTAAATGGAAATAAATTGAATTCTATGGCAAAGCGGATTCCATACAGCCTATTAATGTAAGACAGGGAGGCTTAGCTGTTTTATTTTGTATTTGTTCCCCTCCTCATCTTTTAGCCATGCTCAAGCTCCCATACACTTCCCATCTCTTCCATCAGCCATACCCTCCTAACCATGAGCACTCCCTTGCCTACAATTGCAAGTATGAAGATGAGGGAGATCTGGAGATTTGGATGACCCCAGTGAGGCTCCAAATCATGTCCCAGAGTCCAGCCGAGGAAGGAGAGGTGATGGAGAGCAAGATGAGATGCCCAAATACATGCACAATAGAAACAAGACAGGAGCAGACCTCACCCATTCTCTCTGGGGCATTTTTATTTTAGTTTTGCCTTCTGCACTGCTTGGAGATTGTCTTTTCCACTCTCTGTCAGCTCCAGAATACATTTAATGGTACTTGCCTTCATTCCAGAGTTTAATTGCTTGAGATTGTTACTTGTAGACTGTTAATTTATTAAAACCAGATCTCCCATATTACTCCGGAGCCCAGAAGAATCACTGCCTTCTATTAAAGGCAGTGGTGCGTGCCCATTTGTCTTTTCTCTCTGGTCACCCCTGTAATTGCAGCTCTGTGCTAAGATGGAAAACTCCCTTCTGCCAGCTAAGCATCCTCCTCAGGGTGGATGGGCTGAGACACACATATGGAAGACAAACTCACTCAGGGTATAAACAAGTATAACTTCTGGGATGTCCACAGAGGAGCATTAGAGACCCACAAAGCCTGGAAGTTCTGCAGGTCATGCTTCCCGAGGTGGGATGAAAAGTGAAGTCAGGGACTCGTGGAAATGGGTATCACATAAAAAGGAAATTCTACATAAAATACAACAGATCTCCACAGCACCCAGCAGAGCCAGCACTGCAAACCACTGAGGAATTATCCTCACCCAGCTAAGCACGGAAAGCTCTTTTTTGTTGTATGGACCAGGTCCTGAGACAGACATCTCCCAGAGCCATAGATTTGCAACACCTAATGGAGATACAAGCAAAGATAGGATTCGTTGGATTCACATACTAGGAGATACATATACTCAACATGCGAGGAGGGAGACAAATTCAGGCCAGAAATTCCCTACTTCTTCTCTGTCACCATCTCTCCAATGTGTTCTCCTATCTCCCCAAAGCCGTTCAGCTACCTTCACCATGCCCTGACCCGGACCTGCCTTAGAAAGTCTTCCTTGGCAGCCTGTGCACACATCTTATCCTCTAGAACTGCTTGATAGCATCTAAACTGCAGAACCATAGAATAATTAAGGTTGGAAAAGACTCCAGGATCATCAAGTTCAACCCCAGCCCACCCCCATCATGCCTACTAACCACATCTCTCAGTGCTTACATTTCCAAGGTTCTCAGACCCCTCTAGGAACAGTGACTCCACTGCTCCTTGGGCAGCCTGTACCAGTACATCATCACCTTTTCTGAGAATAATTTTTTCTTCATATCCAACTTGAAACTCCCCTGACCAATTTGAGGCCATTACCTCTTGTTCTATTACTGTTACTTGGGAAAAGAAGCTGACTCCATAGAGGTAAGACAGTGTCTGAATCTATCATTCAAACGCATACTGAAAAAGGAGGGAGTCAACAGGCAAGTGGGAGACAGTAAAGCACCAAGTATTTGAGAACTGCTGAGTAGCAATGAGGGATGTCTGTCCCTCGGGCTGTTTTCTGAGATTCTGCCATCACAAGAGGCAAATTTCCCCACCAATACATCACAGGTATAAAGGTAACAACCCACACTGACCACCAAATGCTCCAAGAGGCACCCACAACACAAAAAGTGAGCACCTGGGGTGCTGCTCCCAGCAGCTGCAGCACAGCACAGGCTGAAGCTCTCGTTACCCACCAGCTGGCAATTATAGCAATAGCATAACAACAGTAAAACAATAACATTTTGTTTACCTCCCTAAATAGTGAGCTCATTTTAGCACTCTGCCTCCAAGCACTAGATAATAACGGGATACAAGACAGGCAGTCTGTTTCACCAAAACAGAGTGGGTGCATCTATGATGTTGGAGACTTTGAGAGTTGCTGCTCCAAACTCCCGATCCTGGAAGTGGTGGGGCTGCAGGAAGTGTCATGGCTGTAATTTGGATTGGGTATGGGGATTTCTTCAGGATGTAGAGCTGGGGCAAGCCAGACAGGCTGCTGTGATGCCTGTGGTCTGGCACTGACCTACATCCTTTGAAGCTCTGGTTCCTCGTTCCTGAAGCTGCCTGGACTGGTTTGCTTTTACTTTGATTTATTTTAAGTACAAACATTCCATGATCTAATCTGAGATCTGCAAGCAGGAGCACACAGCAAAAGATGGCACTTACAAAGATCCCAAAAACCCATTTCATTTAAACAGGGCTATTATTGTGTTTTAATATGGGAATTGATTATTATAGGCACACTTATTGAGCTTAGCAGCTTAGATTTGTATCTATTTTAACACTGTTAATCTTTGATAAATATGTTTTTAATAATCTTGAGGTATTTATTGAACATAAAACTGTCTTGTGAAATAGAGAGTGAGATTGCTAAAGATACTTATTATACACTACTTCAATACAAATTCATTATTAAAAACCTTTTACTGAGGTTTACTTTTAACCACAACATAACAGATGTCATACTGCACGGTTAATCTATAATAAATGTATTTCAATAAACTATTGGTATTTAATCAGCAGTAACCATCTTAATAAATATTAAGGACAAGCTGCTCCTTTAACTTTGTCACACACTTGGAGGTTACAGGACTTTATGAGAAGTAGGAAAGCTGTGGCCTGGTGAAAGGCTACTTATCATAGCCTTATAGAACCGTAAAGGTTGGAATAGACCACTAAGCTCATCTAGCCCAATTATCAACCCACCACACCACCATACCCAATGAGCCATGTTCCTTATTTAGCAGTCCACCACAGCCCTAACATGCCCTTAGCGCTGTCCTCCTTGCTGCTCCAGCCCCAGATCTCCTGCTCGGCTCTCTTACATGGCTCTGCCATTTGATCTCAGTCCTGAGGTGAATCAACACGTGGCCTCAGATGTTCACCCAATCCTGTGTGCAGAGCTGTGCCATTCAAAGGCTATTAATTCAGATCGGGGTGCCTGCAGACAACACTTTTTCTGCCCAATAGTTTTGCAAAGTAGATAGATACCCTCTGTGGATCAAGAGCAGAGCAGAGCTCATACCCTTAGAGTAGAAAAACCACAAGATTTGTGAGAATATGGATCAACAGGGAAGTTTAAACAAGGTGATTTGGGCTTTGAACTCAGTGAAGGGCAGTAAATGCCTTTGACACATGGACTAAACAGGAGTCTGACTCCAAGCCATCAGAGGCAAAAGACCCGCAGTGCTGCTCAGACCCCCTGGTGTGCTCCCAGAGATGTATTTGTCATTCTTTGCATCACTTAATGACCGAGGTTAGTCGCAACTGGCAGATACACAAAACATTTCACTCCCAGAACTAATCAAGTGGGAGAGGAGCAGTAATTCCTCCCATGTCCTCTCCTCTGGGTCCTGCCCCATTTGTTATATGGCCACAGTTACAGGCCTTGTAATCCTTCCTGCAGGCCACGAGCCGATTCCTATATATCAGAGAGAGCCAAGGATCTTAACATGCAACTTTTAATTGAGCTGCATCATCTGCCACAAGCATGAAATTAATGGTGCTACATCATAATCGTAAATTCATACATAACCTCATGCACCAGCAAATAACTCTTTGCGGAGATACTACAATGGTAAGCTGATTTGCAAGACACGCACGCTACCCAGGAATCCTAATTAACCAAATTAACACCATCACTTCAAATCATGTCCCAGCAGTAGGACATTTCCGTTTGGCCTCGGGGTTAGAGCAAAGCAGCCAAATGAAAGTCTG